ATCCTCAGTGAGTGGGGCCTCGAGTGGGACAGGTTTTGTATCAGCCATCACTGGGGTTCCCCAACCCTGAGTACCCAGCCCTACTGGAGAAATGTGCCTCAAATAAACATGTTTTGCCATTAGTGGGCCTACGCCTACACCTATGCGGATTAGTTAAACATTAAACTTAAACATAAAGTCAAACTGTGCCATAAAACCTGATCCGGGGTATAGGCGAGAACTGCCGGTCTTGTAAGGAATGTCTACAACCCTTACGGGTGAGCTCAAGTGGTTCTTTGAGGAGATCCTTTCGGAGTAGGTGTGGGTCGTTTCCTTTGTTGTTGGCGAGTTGGAAGTGGGTGACCTCCAGACCTGGGCCGCCGTCTCTTTGTGAACTTGCTGCTTCTGGTGGGAGTTGGTGAAGGAGGGATATCCACAGGTGGTCAGCAAAGTCCGACATTTTGTTGGTCTGGTGCAATGTATGGGTCTGGTTGTCCCTTTTCACCACTAGCTTGAAGCCTAAATGGCAGATAATTGAGCAGCGAGACTGCAGAGGCATGACCTTCGCACCAAATTTAGAATTTATCTCATGCTCTGTTAGTCTTCTTGACCTTGTAGGAGACTCTTTTTAAAGCTCAATTTAGAGTGCAGGAGAAACGTTTTAAGCATGTAAACCCTTTAAAGGACACCTCTTCTTAAAATTATATATATAAAAAAATAATAATCCTTGCATCAAGAATTTAGAGGAAATATAATTTTTTTAACTAACTGTCAGTTTTCCAACACTGTCTGACCCAAGGTTTGTGTATATGGCTGAAGTAACCTGTCATATACTGAAGGTATGGGTGCATTTTTAAATTTTTTTTTTTTTTTTACTGATACTCTATTGAAAACCAAAGTAAACAATTTCCTTTCAAAACTTGATGTAAGGGTTATTATATTAAAACAGTTAGTTGTGAGATGACAATTGCCCTTTGTGCCTCGCACAAAAGAGCTCTCAGAAGACCTACGATTAAGAATTGACTTGCATAAAGCTGGAAAGGGTTATAAAAGTATCTCCAAAAGCCTTGCTGTTCATCAGTCCACGGTAAGACAAATTGTCTATAAATGGAGAAAGTTCAGCACTGCTGCTACTCTCCTTAGGAGTGGCCGTCCTGTAAAGATGACTGCAAGAGCACAGCGCAGACTGCTCAATGAGGTGAAGAAGAATCCTAGAGTGTCAGCTAAAGACTTACAAAAGTCACTGGCAAATGCTAACATCCCTGTTAGCGAATCTACAATACGTAAAACACTAAACAAGAATGGATTTCATGGGATGATACCACAGAGGAAGCCACTGCTGTCCAAACAAAACATTGCTGCACGTTTACAGTTTGCACAAGAGCACCTGGATGTTCCACAGCAGTACTGGCAAAATAGTCTGTGGACAGATGAAACCAAAGTTGAGTTGTTTGGAAGAAACACACAACACTATGTGTGGCAAAAAAAAGGCACAGCACACCAACATCAAAACCTTATCCCAACTGTGAAGTATGGTGGTGGGGGCATCATGGTTTGGGGCTGCTTTGCTGCGTCAGGGCCTGGACAGATTACTATCATCGAAGGAAAAATGAATTCCCAAGTTTATCAAGACATTTTGCAGGAGAACTTAAGGCCATCTGTCTACCAGCTGAAGCTCAACAGAAGATGGGTGTTGCAACAGGACAATGACCCAAAGCATAGAAGTAAATCAATAACAGAATGGCTTAAACAGAAGAAAATACGCCTTCTGAAGTGGCCCTGTCAGAGTCCTGACCTCAACCCGATTGAGATGCTGTGGCATGACCTCAAGAAAGCGATTCACACCAGACATCCCAAGAATCTTGCTGAACTGAAACATTTCTCTAAAGAGGAATGGTCAAGAATTACATCTGATCTGCAACTACAGGAAACGTTTGGTTGAAGTTATTGCTGCCAAAGGAGGTTCAACCAGTTATTAAATCCAAGGGTACACATACTTTTTCCACCTGCACTGTGAATGTTTACATGATGTGTTCAATAAAAACATGGCAACATTTCATTCTTTGTGTGTTATTAGTTTAAGCAGACTGTGATTGTCTATTGTTGTGACTTAGATGATGATCAGATCACATTTTATGACCAATTTGTGCAGAAATCCATATCATTCCAAAGGGTTCACATACTTTTTCTTGCAACTGTATTTGAGTGTTGGATTAAAATTTAAGTTTCCATCTAGGAAGTAATTAAAACGAATGTGTCAATATAGCTAGAAGCATGCATAGAATTTTATAAGCCTTGTATTTTATTCTCTTATTGAAGTATGCATGGTACATTAAAGGTTGGCAACCACTACTCTAGATTAGTGTTTCTCAACTTTTTACAGAGAAGTACCCCTGCAGATCAAAAAAAAATCCCAAGTACCCCTGCCTCGAGTAAGTAATTTCTATTGATTCAAATTCCAAATGAAACGTGCAGACACTGATATTAATGAAGTTAATCCCATACTGGAGAGCAAGCCTGAATAAAGGTAGTAAACAATATCTTTTAATTAAATATGACATAATGTGAATATTGTGTATGTAAGGAGGAGTGTACAAACTATTAATCTGAAGTAATATGTCACAAAATGAAGATATAATAGCAACATAATAGTTACACACAGAGGGCACTGAAACCCACACTCTCAATGATTTGACACTAGTGATGTCGCGAACTGTTCGCGAACTTGCCGCGAACGATTCGCCACGGTTCGCCACGAACCGTACGCAGCGAACTCCGGTCAGCTGACACATCCCTGCCAATCTCCGGCAGACCCTCCCTCCCAGACCCTCCTACTTCCTGGACAGCATCCATGTTGAAGGCAGCTTCAACATGGATGCTGTCCAGGAGGTGGGAGGGTCTGGGGGAGAGGGTCTGCCGGAGATTGGCAGGGATGTGTCAGCTGACTGGAGTTCGCCGCGAACGGTTCGCCGCGGTTCGCCACGAACCGTTCGCGGCATCACTATTTGACACTGACAGACACACTTACTGACAAACACTCAGTAGAAAACCAATAATAATGGAGCTGCAACATCAAAGGTATATGTCAAAGAGGTTTATTCCACCTGTGTGGAACAGGTCATTTTTAACCCAACTTCAGGGTCTTTGTTAAGACCTCTTTGATATTCAGCTTTGGTGATGTGGCTCCTTTATTGGTTTTCTATTGTAAGTGAGGAAGCTGGAATGAGAAATTGGGGTGATGGCTCTCCCAGTTGTGTGTACACACACTGGCATTAACTGGCAGATACACACACACTCAGTGAAAAACATTTACACACCGTCAGAGGGAGAGACAGACAGACACACACACTCTCTCTCTCTCTCTCTAAAATGTTCACAAATTCTAATTTTTTTCTTTAAAGGGACACTATAGACACCAAACCAACTTTAGTTTAATGAAGCAGGTTTGGTGTATAGATCATACCCCTGCAGTCTCACTGCTCAATTCACTGTCATTTAGGAGTTAAATCACTTTGTTTCTGTTTATGCAGCCCTAGCCACACCTCCCCTGGCTATGATTGACAGAGCCTGCATGAAAAAACTGGTTTCACTTTCAAACAGATGTAATTTACCTTAAATAATTGTATCTCAATCTCTAAATTGAACTTTAATCACATACAGGAGGCTCTTGCAGGGTCTAGCAAGCTATTACCATAGCAGGGGATAAGAAAATATTAATTAAACAGAACTTGCAATAAAAGCCTAAATAGGGCTCTCTTTACAGCAAGTGTTTATGGAAGGCTGTGCAGGTCACATGCAGGGAGCTGTGACTAGGGTTCATAAACAAAGGGATTTAACTCCTAAATGGCAGAGGATTGAGCAGTGAGGCTGCATGGGGCATGTTCTATACACCAAAACTGCTTCATTAAGCTACAGTTGTTCAGGTGACTATAGTGTCCCTTTAATGTAGAAAAATGCAGTTTGCACTTTGTGCACTTTGGCGAAAAGAATGCACAAGCAACTTATACCGTTAATGAAAGCGAATTGGGGATAACAACACAGGAGAAAGACTTGGGAATTCTTATAGACCACAAACTATGCAACAATGTGCAATGTCAATCAGCAGGGCTAAGACCAGTAAGGTATTGTCATGCATGAAAATGGGCATTAATTCTCGGGATGAGAATTTAATTTTGCCTCTTTATAAATCGCTGGTAAGACCCAGTTAGGAGTTAAATCATTGTTGTTTCTGTTCACGCAGCCCTAGTCACAACACCCTGCGTGTGACTTGCACAGCCTTCCTAAACACTTCATTTCAGTAATTTAAAGCTTATACTTCCTTCATTGAAAATTCTGTGTAATTTAGAATTTATCTCCTGCGTCGTCAATAGCTGGTTAGACCCGCAGGAGCCCAGTGTCTATAAATAAAGCTTTACCTGACCTCAGCTTAGTTCACTCAGAAGGAGGAATGAAACATGTGAAGGACTCTAACATAGGTGAACAAACCATTTAGCTTTTCTTTGTGCTGCAGGCATTTAAAACCAGATATGAGGACTTCAGTAGGATTTAGTCTATGAGCAGCCCTGCCTGACAGCTCTCTCATGCAGTCTATCATCTTGCAAAAAAAGCTTGCCAGGATGACATGCCCTCTGTTTAGGGACAGGCAGGATGTGTATGACATTAATTGACTACACCTCCGCCTCCTCCCTCTCCTGTTATTAGATGGAGATTTATATTATGTTTGGGAAATGAATGATTTATTATTAACTAAATGATTTCCTATCCCAAGCAATGTAATACTCCGTACGACAGGATTGCGCTTTTTAGCCTCAGTGATGTCTGTACAGGAAAACATGGCGAATTTGGCATGTGACCCAAGTTTTAATAACTCATCCTGTAAAGAAGCTTTAAAGAAACACGCCATGTGAAAATTAACATTCCTTTAAAACATGTATGATGTATGAACATTTAAAATAAAATGCATTTAACAGAATTTGTAAAAATGTATTTAAAATTATTTTTTTCCACTTCTTCGTCAACATGCTGCACTTGGCTGCTTGCCAAAGATTTCAGGCCAAAATGTCAACTAGCTTCTATTTTAGGATGCTGACTGATGACCAATCAAGGGTGTAGTACACCATTCTCGTAGGAAAGAGAAATGTGATTAATAACTAACTGGTAAAGTGAAATGCCAATCAGAAATAGCACTGTGCCCTCTTGTATTTTAAGCAAGTGTTTAACAGGCACATGGTTAAACTCAGAAGGTTAAAAATGTTGGATTGCTTTCTGAAAGGAATGTTCCATTTTGACTTCTACATGGAATACCTAGAAACTCAAAGTGGCAATGAATCATATGTAGATCAGAGCCTGCACTAGGGGCGGGAAGGGGTAAGATTGGACAGTCAGCTCTGCAATGTATGAGCTGGTCAGATTAACATTGCTTCTACCGGTACTGAAGCTGAAACTCCAGGCCCCAAATGCCTGACTTTATTTTTGTGATTTGATGCAGCCCTAATAAATATTGGTTACAATACTCATAGTTTGGGCCTGGGAGGCAAATATCTTCCATGGACTCACTGAGCATTATGGGATACATTGTTTATAAAACCCAAAGGTGCCAAAGGTAACTTTGCACTATATAGAATTGGATAAAGCTTCATTCTCCGGCAGCCACTGGAAGGGGGAATCTGAACTTCTATAATAAATATGACCAGTGCTCTTTGTTAAAATGCATATTGCAACTTTACCTCTGGCTCAGATGGTTACAACCCAGCAGATATCTGCAGTCCTCATGTGTGTATTTCTGAGGATGTAATTGAATAAGTGTGTTTGTGAGGGTGTAATTGTGTGGGTGTAATTGTATAAGTGTGTGTGTGTGTGTGTGTGATGGTGTAATTGTATAAGTGTGTGTTTGTGAGGGTGTGATTCTATGTTCGTGACTTTGTATTCTATTCTATGTGTGTGTCTGAGGGTTTAATTCAATGTGTGTATGTGTCTCATGGTGCCATTGTATAATTGTATGTGTGTTTGTGTATGTAATTGATTCAGTGTGTATGGTTCTGAGGATGCAATTGTATGCGTTTGTGTCTGAGATTGAAATTGTATGAGTGTGTGTCTGAGGGTGTAATTGCACTGTGCAATCACTAGTCACCCAGTGGAGCAGTCAGTTCGGTGACAGAGCCGCTTTAAAAAATTTACAATTTGTGACATATAGCTTTGTGCCACTCGCAACACCTAAAATGGGTAGCCCCCCGCCCCCCTAGATGCTGGACATCAGGGAACAATCTTGGACAGGACGCAGAAATTGTTGCTTTCCCATCAAAATCAGAACAGTTGAGGGCCTATATTGTGAAATATCGGTAGTGATATAAATTATATTTTTTATTGTCATATAGCAGTGTGGGAATAGTGGATGTAGTTATGGAAGCTGGTTGACATGGTTAAAACTCCTGTAAAGTCCTTACTTGATTGCTCTGCTGAAAACTGTCCCTAAAAATGTTTTTTTAAATGGAAAACATCCATTTACTAAAAAACTATAAAGGATCTTTATAGTGTTAATTTAACATGCATTTCCGAAATGCTGGTTAGATTTATAAACTAGATCTTCTGGGAAGGAGTCTCATGCTGGTCTACAGAAACACCGTTTAGTTGACCAGGGCAGGAAGGCAGACATATAATAATATACAGCATATATGTGTGTGCCTAGTGCCCTCTCCTTGTGATGCTGGCTGCTGCATCCCTATTACGGTATTACCGCACAGACTTTTCTCTGTTTACTTCGGTGACAGCGGCACCTAGTGTTCACCAACCTCACTGCAGATAATGTGCTGTCCGGAGCAGGGCATGCAGGGAATTGTAGTTTTTGCGTGTAGTAGGAAGTAGGAAGTGTTTGTTTAGTGGGTTGGGCTGATTATGTTTTCTTACGTATGATGGAAAGAGTCCTTACCGGGTGAGGACATGGAGATCAGTGGCCTGCACCGGGAGGAGCCCATCTGGTGAGATTTGTAATTCACCTTATAATGGCTGTGGATAATGGTCTATAGGCTTTTCTGTATCACATATCCCAAAAGGGCAATAATGTGCACATGAACAGTAACTTACCTATACATGTCTATTGCTAGATTGGGGAGACATTTGACTGATGCTTAGTGAGTTCCATTAAGAATCCTCATAAAACCACCTGTGTGTATATTTAACATTAGACCACCCAGCAAGACTGAAGGTTATAATCTCACTAACAGTTGAGACCGCGAGAAGCAGCTATATACCTGTATCTGATTGTTGGATACCGAGCTTAAATATAGGAAAAATAACAAGGGTCATATCAAACAGTCATAAATGTTTTTTTTTTTAATTGTTTTTTTTATATTATGTTTTGTTTTTGGCTATAAAAATAAAAAAAAAATTGATAAAATTTAACTTCTAGATGTCTTTGGCTAGTGTGTGTGTATATATTGCTCAGTGAATTCGTTTACAAAAGTTATAACTTTGAAATACTTTTCAACTTTTACATCAATATTAAATATTTGATAGAAGAACATTTATTTGTAATGTTTAGTCAGGTGTTAAAGTAACTTTTTTTTTTTTTGGGGGGGATTCCCCGTGTTTGTACAAGCAAAAGTTAAACTATCAATTTATTCGGTACTTCATGCTAATTTGTTAACTGATTAGTTGATTATGAGCCAATCATTTTTATTTTTCTTAAAACTATTGGGATAATTTCTAAGGTGAAAATCCAAAGTGAATTTAAGGTCATCTGCTCCGCTGACCTGCTCGCTACCCACTCCGATTACGACCCAAACCTCCCCTTTATCTTGTAACTTTCTCTGTACCTCCTCTATCTTCCTTCCTACTATTCTGTTACTTCTCCTTACTTCTCTTCCCATTCTCCATGGGACTAAAACTATTCATCATTCACTCAACTCGCATTGAAAAACATGTACAAGAAACAACAAAAAGAAAAACCCTTATAAGGCGAGTACAAAAACCTAACTTCGAATCACATACGATCTTAGCACAACTATAGTCTGGACCAACGTACACGTTGCCACCTAATTTGCGACTTCCAAAGCCTTATGTACGGCTATTATGTTAATGCAATGTTACTTAGATTCAAAGCTCCAAAGTTATTGCGATGTTATGTATACGACTATTGTCACATAAGTGATTGTGAACTATATTATTGTATTTGCTAACCTCGCTAAAACTAGCAAAAAAAAAGAAAAAATGGATAATGTCAGCAACTGCAATTTAATAAATCTGAAACCCCAGAGAATTTTATTTTAATATAACAAATATAATGCAGCAACTGCAGCTTGGCGTTTCATTTTCAGATTATTAACATTCTAACAGGAGCAATAAGAGTATTTTATTATAATATGTTATATAGAAAACTGCAATGAAAAATTAAGGTTCCTTCATTTTCAAAAAAATAAATAAAAACATTTAAGGTCAATATAGGTAAAATGGAAAATTCACTAAGTGATCTATGCTTTCCATTAAGTTACTCTGGCCTTAAAGGACCACTATAGTGCCAGGAAAACAAACTCATTTTCCTGGCACTATAGTGCCCTGAGGGTGCCCCCACCCTCAGGGTCCCCCTCCCGCCAGGCTCTAGAGGGAGGAAGGGGTTAAATTTACCTCTTTCTCCAGCGCCGGGCGGGGGACTCTCCTCCTCCATAGCGATGTCATCGGCTAAATGCGCATGCGCGTCAGGAGCTGCGTGCGCATTCAGCCAGTTGCTTTCCTATGGACGCTGGCGTCTTCTCACTGTGAAAATCACAGTGAGAAGCGCGGAAGCGCCTCTAGCGGCTGTCAACGAGACAGCCACTAGAGGGTGGATTAACCCTAAAGTAAACATAGCAGTTTCTCTGAAACTCCTATGTTAATAGAAAAAAGGATTAACCCTAGCTGGACCAGGCACCCAGACCACCTCATTAAAGTGAAGTGGTCTGGGTGCCTATAGTGGTCCTTGAAAGGACAACAACACTCTTCCTGAGTACTGTTTGCTCAGCATCTTATAATTTACCTTTTAAAGGAACACTATAGTCACCTAAATTAATTTAGCTAAATAAAGCAGTTTTAGTGTATAGATCATTCCCCTGCAATTTCACTGCTCAATTCACTGTCATTTAGGATTTAAATAACTTTTTCTGTTTATGCAGCCCTAGCCACACCTCCCCTGGCTGTGATTGACAGAGCCTGCATGCAAATAAAAACTGGTTTCACTTTCAAACAGATGTAATTTACCTTAAATAATTGTATCTCAATCTCTAACTTGAACTTTAATCACATACAGGAGGCTCTTGCAGGGTCTAGCAAGCTATTAACATAGCAGGGGATAAGAAAATCTTAAAGGACCACTCTAGGCACCCAGACCACTTCAGCTTAATGAAGTGGTCTGGGTGCCAGGCCCAGCTAGGGTTAACCCATTTTTTTCATAAACATAGCAGTTTCAGAGAAACTGCTATGTTTATGAATGGGTTAAGCCTTCCCCTATTTCCTCTAGTGGCTGTCTCATTGGCAGCCACTAGAGGCGCTTGCGTGCTTCTCACTGTGATTTTCAGTGAGAGCACGCCAGCGTCCATAGGAAAGCATTATGAATGCTTTCCTATGTGAGCGGCTGAATGTGCGCGCAGCTCTTGTCGCGCGTGCACATTCAGCCGACGGGGAGGAGAAGAGGAGGATCGGAGTAGGAGAGCTCTCCGCCCAGAGCTGGAAAGAGGTAAGTTTTAACCCCTTTCTCCTTTCCAGAGCAGGGCGGGAGGGGGTCCCTGAGGGTGGGGGCACCCTCATGGCACTATAGTGCCAGGAAAACAAGTATGTTTTCCTGGCACTATAGTGGTCCTTTAATTAAACAGAGCTTGCAATAAAGAAAGCCTAAATAGGGCTCTCTTTACAGGAAGTGTTTATGGAAGGCTGTGCAAGTCACATGATGGGAGGTGTGACTAGGGTTCATAAACAAAGGGATTTAACTCCTAAATGGCAGAGGATTGAGCAGTGAGGCTGCAGGGGCATGTTCTATACACCAAAACTGCTTCATTAAGCTAAAGTTGTTCAGGTGACTATAGTGTCCCTTTAAACATCCGCTTTGCTGTTTCCTCATGCCAAGATTTGAACACTGAAAGTTCTTTTCTGAAAATGGTAGTAATGGTAGTGCTTGAACTTGTAGTGCTTGAATGGACTTGTTGGGGGGGGGGTGTATAAACTATATAGGAATTAAGGAAATAAACTATAAAGTGTTTTCTGCTTTTCTGTCTAACAGTTTAAAGCTGTCCGCTAAGTAACTTCATACTAGCTCGATTATCTGGTTCTATGTGCAGGACTGTAATGCTATTTGGATAATTACCATTTGAAGTGACAGCCATCTTGTTATTAATGTGACCCAGTGACCTGCCAGATTCAGTTTACTAAAGGACTGAGTAACCAGTGCTTAATCCTGTTTCTGATCTAGTGCAGGCATAGGCAACCTTCAGGCCTCCAGATGTTTTGGACTACACTTCACATGATGCTTTGCCAGTGATTAGTAGGATAACAAAGGAGAACTCTTGATGGTCAAAGTAGCTGACATGTGTTTAAGAAGAACCAGGGCCTTACAGTTTTTTTTTTTTAATTGAAAAGTTAAAATGTGTCTAGTGTCTGTCACTCAGACAGCCACTAAAGGTGGTAAGTAAATTCACCTTTTTAACCCCTGTGGGGCCCGGTCACCTAAATGTTCACCTTTGCCCTATAGCATTAGGAATACACATTTGTATTTCTAAAATTCTAGTGTTCCTTCAGTTTGCTAATTTGGAGTTTAGTAAAAAAAAACCTTAAATTGAATTTCAAATTATAGGCCCCAGTAACCAGATTGGAAAATGATTCAAGTTAGTTATGTTTTCATGTAGGCTTTTTTTGCCCTAAAATTGTAAATTCACTTTGAATGATCGACAGTATGGGTGAATAATTTTGTTAATACTCTCTCAGGGTTAGTTACCATTTTCAAATTGATAGGAATTAATCAGGAATGTTATATTTTAAGGATAAAATAGCTGTTGAATGTTTCTAATCTCTTGTTGTGGCCTAAAGTTTTTAAAATTCACTGCTGAAATCCCAGCAAGTCATGATTTAGTGAATAACCCTGTTGGAATTTAGAACTGAGACACAGCGGCTTGATGTCATACTGATCCCAAAATAAACATGATGCCCCCTCCACAAGGCCTTTCCCTTGACACTTATCTAACTCCATGGATCCACCAATGGCTCCTTCTTTAGTTCAAATAGTAAACGTATTGTTGTTTCCAAAGATTTCCTCTTTAAAAGGTTACGCCATGTACCATGACTACTTCAGTGACGCTCTCAGCAAATGAATGGCAATGTGTTTTTTGTCTTCTGCAGCACTGCAGAAGCCAGATGAACGTGACCTGAGCCGCAAAAAAGCCTCCGCTCCCAGCAAGGACCCAGATTAGACGTCAAACCTTTGCAAAATGGTTTCTCGTTACTGGAAACAGGGCCAGGGTACTCCTTGCAGCATAGCCATTAAAGCAGGTTGTAGTGATTATGATACTTGGAGTAACCCTGCAAAACATAGTCCACACCTCACACCTATCCAACTCTGTGTTTCCACATGTTACCCTCTCCCCCTCCCTGTATACTGTTACTGTATTTATCTAACACCAGTCACATAACACTCACATTTAGAGTTCAACTGTTCCCTGCCAAATAGTATTGTAAACTTCCACTTTTATTTGAACAAAAACCACCCCTCTTTTGCATCCCATTAAAAAGCCCTAAATCCCCATCTCATTTAGTTTTAGATTTGGACCTACGTTTTAAATTTAAGAAATGGTCACAGTGGCCAGAATTTAGATTTTTGCTCATGGTCACAGTGATTACTAATAATGATGTGAGACATTGGTTTCTATTTAAGGTCAGGCATTGACTCAATACTGTATGGTTATGTAAAAGTACAAATTAATTAGGGCAAACACCTAACAAGCAAGGCTGTACTTAATCATTTCACAACCACAAAGCATTAACACTAAAATAATCATTCGATTTTCGCCCTTCTTAAAACAATGATTGCAAGATTTGTTACTTAGAAGTCTTTTTTATAAGTAATTTTATTTGTTTCTTATATTTGTCATTAGCAATAAAATAAATGGAAATATAGGTGGCATGGGCAAAAATTACTCCATCTTGTGTTTTTATAACCATGGCTATATTTTGTTCCTTAAAGGAACACTGTAGGCACCCAGACCACTTCAGCTCATTGAAGTGGTCTGGGTACAGTGTCCCTATTGCCCTTAATGCTGCAATGTTAAACTCTAATTCTGCCTCCAGTGGATGGCTACCTGACAGCCACTAGAGGGCTTCCTGGATTAAAATGGACCTTTGGTCTGGTATCTGACGCTGGATGTCCTCACGCTCTGCATGAGGAAATCCAGCGTCAGATTTTTTTGTTCCCATAGGAAAGCATTAATTCAGTGCTTTCCTGTAGGAAGGTTTCTAGCGCGGGATGGAGGAGGGAGTGGAACGTTGACCCAGTGCCGAGGGACATTGGTGCTGGTATCAGGTAAGTAAAGGGTTTTATTAAAGTACCAGGTAATAAAATTAAACCCTTTTATTACCTGGTAGAGGGGGTACAAGGGAAGGTGGGGGGGGGGAAGGGAAGAGGGCGGCTGGGGGACCTATTGTGCCTGTAGTATCCCTTTAAATTGTAATTTTCAATGTAAGTACTTTGCAATAGCATATATTGTACTATGCATTTTAACAACTGCATTTGTTGAGCTCTGTGACATTCTTAGAATGCATTCACATGTTTCCAACAGTTTTTTTAATTTTTTTTTATTTTTTTTTATTTTATTTTTTGTAAATCTTGAGGAACACTCTAAGCACCATAACCACTACACCAACTGGTTCCATGAGTGTGGTGACACACTCCAAAGGTAAGTAGTAGACTAGTTGTAAACAGCTTGACTGCTTACCCTTGTTACCTCCTTGTCTACTGCCAGAAGCTGTAGCACTGAGGTAAGTCAGCATTTATCTGATGCTCTCAGCCAATAAGACCACTAAAGAGGGATGTAGTGGTTATGGTGTTTGGAGTGTTCCTTTTAAATGTTAACCCAGGGAATAGAAGTCATAGTTAACCTACAGTACTTTAAACTACACTCATAACCTGCTAATGGTGCTGAATAACTTTCTCTGACTGACTAATCAATGTAAATTCCTTGTGTAATCATTTAACGTGCCAGAAGAAAAGATATCTGCAATATATGTCTATATTTGATTAGGTCTCTTTGTGTACAACTACATTCTTTCAGTGTTTTTGTGCCAATGGTATGTTTAGAAAAGTAAAAAAACTTTCAGCATGCTGAGTGTATATAACAAGTCTGTAGACACTGTAAATCCTTTCATGTTCCTGGGCTACTTATTGTTCCGTTCTGAAAATAAAATGTATTTTCCCCCATGAGAATTAAAGATTAAGCTGTGCATTAATGTTTAACATGGTGCTATGGGAAGTAACCTTAATAATAATAATAATAATAATAATAATAATAATAATAATAATAATATTTATTATGCGTTCCACACCCAGTCCAGGGTAGACACTGTTTTAAGCAACCAGGGTTCTGTCCCTAGGAATGCTGGAGAAGTGCACTGGGCATGCCTGATAAATTTACACATGTGCAGTTGTAAGATCTCCTCACCTTACACCAGGGGTCCTCAAACTCTGGCCCCCCAGATGTTGCTGAACTACAACTACCATGATTCTCTGGCTATCTATATAATTCAAAGAATCATGGGAGTTGTAGTTCAGCAACATCTGGGGGGCTGGAGTTTGAGGACCCCTGCCTTACACCATCATGAGAGGGGGAGAAGAGAGTCCTATCAGTGTGATTCAGGCATAGCAGGCTACTGTATTGGGTTTATTTATTCTGCTGCTGTGCAATGATGCACTGTTTTAGTCTGGTCTGAAACTCACATGGGTGTGTAAAAGAAGGCAAGTCTAAAGGAATGCTCCTAGCTGAGAGGCGTGCCCAATAATGCAATCTGACCAAGTTTGTAGTAAATTTATACATTTTTACTATATACTTTTGAAAGTTTTTCTTGCTTTATTTTTGTTTAAATATTTGTTTTGAATTGTTTGCTTTCTGATTTTAATAATAATTGTCAAGTGATGCATGCCCCTTTTAATGTTACTCTTCTTTAAGCAAAGAATCAAAATACATTAAAGGATTACTCCAACACTGGATTTTGGTTGGACTAACTCTTTCTGCGGCGGTCTGCCATCCCCCCAAAATGTAAAAATAAATAATTAAAAGCAACCCTAAACTCTGTTCTGTTGCTGCGTCCAAGTTCTCCCCTCCTTGCCAGAGGAGAATTGAGAACAAAGGTGCCATGGGAGTAGTGGGTAAACCTTACTGAGTTTGTCCCCCAGTTGTAAATATGTTCTAAAACTTCCATTTAAGTGCCGAGGCCAAATTCTCCCTTAAGACCTCTACTCCTCGGTTAAAGTTGCTTCCCATCGTCATGGAGAATACGCCGAGGAGTGAGCAGGGGGGGAGGGGGTTAGAGAGTAGAGTTGCCACCATTGAGTGTCTGGCTCATCATTGATTTACCAAAATATTCAAAACACATAAATGGTCATGAAGATTCAGAACAAACAGTTTCATAAATATTTTTTTTTTGTTTATTTGAACACTGCTTAATTTCTTTAGTTTTTTCTCTCCCCTATTTTACAGCTGTCCTCACTTGTTGGTGTTATTCATATGTTCTATGCAAAGCTTAGATCTGGGGGGAAAGTTACTGCCAAAAAGTACATACTGATTTTGTTCATTATATTATTCTCTCTTTATGGTTTCACTTCCCCATGTTCTGCTTGAATACACGGAGATTGAGATTTATTCTGTTGAAATACAGTTGGTGCCAGGTGTTACTAGGAGGAGTTTAATTAAAATTAAACAGACCCCAAAACCCAGACTCTTAATGCTCAGTTCAGCAGTAATTAATATCACAGTAATACTGCCAATGTCAAGTTGTCATGCAACAGAACCTAAATTAGAATCGTTGGGACTAAGATTGTGACTTGGCTGCAGTGTCAGCAAAGTTATCATCTTTCCTGTTCTTGTCTGTTTTAATTTCCTCATTTCCGGTTGTATATCTGACCATTGCAGGGCTGAACACTGGAGACTTCTGGACAATCTTAAAACCACAGTGGAAGGGTTGGTGTCTGGTAACAGCCGCAATGTGTGGTCAAAATATGGTGGCCTGCAGAGGCTCTGTCGGGATATGAGCAGCATTCTCCAGCATGGACTAATCAACGACCAGGTACTAATGTTATTACGGTCTGCGGCATTGTTATGAGACAATCAGGAATCAGTAGGTATAGAGTATACATGTATATGGAGGCAAGATGTTCAAATATGGATCCTATATGAGTGATATGTTTCCTTCCATAGTGGTTAAAATCTTGAACATTTCAGTTAAAATTTAGGAGACCTCTTTTTCCTGTGTTTGTATCATAAATTGCTATTTCATCTAATGAAAGGCTGGAGTGACTGATTGCAGGCTTCTTAAAGTACTTTTAATGTCTACATTCTGCACTTTAGATGTTGTGGGACTACATTTCCCCTGATGCTTTGTCAGCGTTATGGGTGTTAGAGCATTTTTTGACATGTAGTCTTCATGATCTGAAGTGCCGATGGTTGCCTACTCCTGGTCTAATAGATGGTGAGGCTATGTTTAGACTTCCAATTCATAAGTTCAGAGTACTTTATTGGCTTCGTTAGGCAACATTTTTCATATCCCCCTGCCCTAGATTAAATGAGAGAAGACCATGGTATATCCTTCAGTATTGCATTTTTCTATGGCTTTCTAATGAATTGGGAAAATGTTTTCACTCAGTAAATACATAATCATACCAATATAGTGTATATACCTCACGTTGCCAATAATCTTATTTTTTATTGTCCTCATGCTGTCTGTTACTTGCTAACATTAAATCAAACAAGAAGAAAGTTACTTCATCGGATTATCACCTGCATGTAATGATGCACATATTGAGTTTTCTCCACACGGGATTTTTTCCCCTAAATTGCAGTAGTGTAAGAACTGCAGAAATTCTGATAATTATGCACTAATTTATTGAATCCGTAATGTGACCGTAATAAGATAATAAAGAGTAAAATACGAAGAATGGCAGCATAGCACAGTTCATTTTTTTTTCCCCAAGGCTCCTCAGTAAGAAAGGGGAACCCAGTCTGGATAGAGAGGTAAGAAGATAATTTAAAGGAAAAGAGAGCCAGCGAAACTGAAGCCAAGTAATTTTTACAGGAGTATAAAGAATGGAATCAATACCTTTTAAAAGAAGGAATAGATAGGTTTGAATAAGAATGGCATGGTCTATCCAGATACTACTCTGTATTAATAATTTGGTATGGGGAAGGAGGGGGTTATCTTTTTGTTTTTAGCTCTACAAACCCTGATAACTATATAGAGTAGGAGCCAACCGATCTTTTTCCAGAGCTGATACCAATTATCGGACGCATTTCAGGCTAATTGCTGATAACTAGTACTGATATTCTGAACATTTAAAGTGTTGAAAAAGTAACACAATGTCTATACAAATCTGTCATTAACTGAACATGCTGACAGAAAACACACTCCGATTACTCTCAGGCAGCCAGTGCATCCTGGGATCAGTAAGATCTTGACGTGTACAGTGCTGTTACTAAAAGGAGTGTGACTGCTGACAGCATTCACACTCCTATTACCCTGTCAGTAAGCCATGTTATGTACTTCTGTGTTTGGTAGATTACTATTTACAAATTAAATAGCACACACATTAAAGGTTGGTTACGGTAACTTAAAAAAATAATGAACTATACTAACTATAATTGTCATAATTTCCTTCTAAATTGCCTGGGCATCATAGAGACGATAGAAACAATGATTAAATCAGTGGCCATTTCTGCCCCTTTCTTGACAACCAGGTTAATTAATACTTATTCCCTAGACAATTAATCCGATACCAAGAAGATAAATATAATATAGAAATTCCAAAATATTAACATTTTATTGTATAGAAAATTAAACATTGCACTTTAAATCGATCAAAATTCTAAAGGATTTTGAGTTTCAGTGAAAGTACCAGGGTTAGCGCATTAGTATTATAAATGAAGCAGCAGTGGTGATTATGCAGTCCCTAGAGAAGATTTGTGATTTACATACCAGGAAAATGATATAATGTGGTCTGCAAAGATGGTGAAGTGGCAGCATGACAGAGGGCCCTGCGCAGAGTAGTTGGTTTGGCAGAGTAGGATGAGCAAAGATAGTGTAATATTGGTGAATACATAAAGTGTTTGAATATAAGCTGTAGAGATACAAAATGCTATTCTTCTTGGAAACGTCTTATTTTCCAGGAATACATTATTGAAACTGTATATTTGATGCTAATTGTTTAGTAGGAGACACCTTCTATCCAAAATGAACAGCGCCATAACACCATCAATTCACACAATGCTAACGGGTTTAAACGTGATAGGAAAATTCTAAAAAGCTCCTTTTTCACCAGGAATCATAATGAAACCGTAACACTGTGCCCTTGTATATAAAACTCATGCATGTCATAAAAACCTTGCTTTATCAATCTAATCCAACATCATTTAAACCCAACCGTAAATGTGGGTTTGTGCAGGAGGAGATGGCGAATATAAAGTTTTGTAGTACTGTAATCATAAAATTTGATGTGCCACTTCCTAGTGGTCCATTGGCTTTGTGTAGATTGCCAGAATGCAGAATATCGGCTAGTTTTATTGGCCGAACCGATAATTGATCGATCCCTAATATAGAGTATTAGAAACTATTTGTTAGTGTGATTGGGAAAACCTGAATAGTAGTTTTGGTCCAGTAAGTCAGTTCACGGATTTGGAAGTGGTCAATTTTAAAAAAAGAAGTAGACAACCGACCAACTTTCAGGCCATTTGAATCTGCTCAAACCTCCACCACATACCAACATGTGGCTGCTTCTTCGTAGCCACTAGAGGAAATGCCAGAGTATGCAACATTTAATAGCCTGCTGTGTATGATTAAAGTTCAATTAACAGAGTAGTAGATAAGGCTGTCTGAATCACAACCTGGAGAGGAGTGGCTAGGGCTGTATAAACAGAAATAAGTGATTTATCTTCTAAGTAGTCAGATTTGAGCAGTGCATTTGCTATGCATGATCTACTTAGTAAACCGCTTCATTAAGTTACAGTTGTTTTGATGCTTAGAACATCCATTTCCCTTTTTTCAGTTGTGTGGCTACAGTGTTCTGATTAATAACTGTCTCCTACCTGGATTCATAAAATGGTGACCCAGGAAATCTTGAATCTAATAAACAATCGTTCCATATTGTCAACTGTTGTGTTTCTAATCTACATGATTATATTAATCTGTTCCATATTGCCTCTGAAATGCAGAGTTCTGTAAATCATGTTTTGTTCTTCTGGCAGGTTTATTGTAAGCAGCAGGACTACTGGAATTTTGTCAAGAGCAGTCAGCGAATCGGGCCAAATCTTTCTCCCCAAGTGCAACAGGTAGGCCCATGTACTGAAACACAGAACTTTAAAGAATTGTCATTTTCCCAATTTTGGCAAAACAAAATGGCTAAATATAAGTAACTGGTTGTCTTAATTTATTTAATTTTTTTTTCTTATTCTTATTAGATTACTTTTAGTTACACGTTTTGGCAGACAATGTATGTAAATGTATGTTAATTCATTCTATAGTGCCATATGTATGAAATATTGCCATGTGTATAGAAATATTGTACATTATTATTATTATTATTATTATTATTATTATTATTATTATTAGGACATGTCATTTTGACAATTTTTTTTTTTACATTTTTTTTTTTAAGTCCGCAAACAAAAAATACAAACCAAAATAAAGCAAGAAAAACCTTAAAGTATGTAATAGACATTTATAAAATGATTATAAATTTGGTCAGATGCATCATTGGGCACGCCCCTTTAAGTGAGTTATTTCAGCCTAGTAGTAGGAATAGCAGTAATAATAATGTTGTTGTTATTGTTATCGTCAAAGTCAGTTTGAATCTAGTTGGTTTCCAATTATGTCCAGGTGTTTATATCTTATCTGATTTTATAACATTCGTTTATTCAAGTTTGGAAGCTCACAAGGCCAATTTGACGCTGCCAGGAGTCAGTCTTTCAACTTGAGATACTGCTGGGACTCTATCCCCTGAGCTAGCTCACTAAGATTACATTCTGAGAACTTCATAATCATACAATTGAGAGTTATGAAAAATGCGTTTATTTTTTTCTTGTCTAGCAAGTATTTTTTTTTTTTTTTTTATATCCTCGATTGAAGATGTCTAAAAGTATTGTCCACTTCATTTTCTTCTGTCTGAACTTTGCTGTGATTTTTGGTCTAGTTCCTGCTCTTCTGTGAAAACAGTCAGAGAAATGGTGATGGTACCAGAGAGGAGAATGGCAAGCTCTGGCTTCAGCACAGCCTTCAGTTCCATTGTCTATCTGCTCAGCTAAAAGCCCTTCTCGGGAATAGGCAGTACACTCGGACATTCTACTCAGGTAATGCTGGTCTGTGTGTAGAAAACAAATGGACCTTCATAAGCTAGGCCAACAAAAATGCATGTCTTGCAGTGTGCATTATTCAGCTACAGCTGTACAGCAAAAAACAAAAACACTATCCTTCAATGGAAATGACCTCTTTGTAAGAGCTTAGACTGTTTTATAAGCTAGCTTTAGGAGGCTGTGCACATTGAATTGAAAATTATAAAGCACTATCGTTCACATTGACCAGCTATGCTCTACCACTGCATCACTTTTTTTCTTAAAAAATAAATTCACAAAAATATAAATAAGTAAATCACCCTATACAACGAGAAATACAAACTTGGCCACCAAAAATAACATTAGGATGAGATACTGAAGATATTACATGTGAATTGAGCTATTCATGGATGCCATTGAAATCTGACCAGCAGTAGAGCATGTTTTGTTTATGAAGAATGTGTAGTCTTCTCTATATCTGACTTCATCCTGTGCTTTCAACAGATTCTGCCTTCTTGTTGAGTGAGACTCACGTCACAGCAATGTTCCAATGTCTGGAGGCAGTAGAACAGAATGACCCCAGGTTATTGGCCCAGATAGATACATCTGTGGTAAGACCCCTGGTTTCTTCCTTGCTCTTTACAACAAAAGAAACGTCTTCAGGATATATTAAAAATGCACACTTTTGTTTGTTTGTTTTGTTAAAGTAATATTCATTGAAGACAAAGTGAGATACAACAGACTTGCTTCAAAGCATGCTCCATAAATATAATGTCCGGTGCAGTGGGAAAAAAAAGATAAAATAAGGCTTAACATACCATAAGTAAAAAATTCTTCTACTTCTTAAAAGAACACTCTCATGCCGCTGCAGTATCACTGCTCAATTTTCTGCCATTTAGGAGTTAAATCACTTTGTTTATGTAGCCTTAGCCACACCTCCTGTGCATTTGCTAACCTTCCTACATCCTTCCTCTAAGAAGAGAGCTAAATTTTGTAAATGTTTGTTCTTTTACATGTGTAGTAGAGAATTTTGTCATTTCTGCTCTGTTAATAACTTGCTAGAGCCTGCAGGAACCTCAGGCGTGTGATAGCTCAATTAACAGAGCAGGAGATAAGTAAACACATTGTGCTGTAAGATCTGGTTGAAAATTATAGAGTTTATTTCATGTTGGCTGTTTGAGTCTCGGCCAGAGGAAGTGTGACTAGGGCTGCATAGACAGAATGAAAAATGATTTAACTCCTTTGGTACTTAGAGTATAGCTATAGTAATAATTAAATACAGATTATCTATCTGTCGTATAGGATTGATATCTATGTATTAACAACATCCTCTCAGTTTAATTTTTAAACAATTTCTCCTTGAAGGAACACTATAGTGTCAGCAATACAAACCTGTATTGCATAAATAAATCTTTAGGTTACTTGCCCCCACTCTGTGCAGTTAAAAGGTGAGTTTACTCACCTTTTCTACCTCGCCCCTGCTGGCCCTGTCTTCATGGCTGAGATCATCAATCTTTGTGATCTGAGCCAATCCAATGCTTTCCCACAGGAAAGCAATGGGAGGTTATTGAGCATGTACGGAAATAAACTACACTACAACAATCAGGATCTCTTAATAGAGAAGCATTGAAATGCTTAACGTGGTGCTGCACATTATGCAGCACTGAGTTAGGAAGTACCTCTAGTGGCGGAGTGACTACCACTAGAGGTTTTACTAGGCAGCAATGTAAACACTGCCTTTACATTGCCAGCATTTTCATTGCTCAGCCTGCAGGGACATGTTACAGACACCAGAGCCACTACATTAAGCTCTAATGGGTCTGGTTATTATAGTGTCCCTTTAAGGTGAGGTGCAGAAAAAGAAAGAAAGGAAGCTGCAAAAAGTCTACAGAATATAGGAAAGAATAGAGGCTAAACAGATCGAGAAAGCAGAAATTCATATATACTACACTTTTAATTTTTAATTTTTTTATTTAAGTAGATTAAACATCCTATACATCGGCATGTTAAATTAACATAGAAATTAATAGCTTATGTGTAGGCCACCGACAACTTCTGCAACAACTATACAATTAACAAACAAAACACACTTACCGCAAATATCTAGCATTCAATTGCTCGCTGGTCTATACTGTATTTTGTAATGTTAAAATATTTCAATTAAACACATTCCTGGGATAAAATAATAAAAAAAAAAAAACCACAAAACTTTGCGCTATAAACTACTGCAATAAATTTAGCTAAAGAAAAAGATCATTTCATACATATCATTTTTATTTTGCAAAGTTACGTGTAATGAATACAGATAAAAACAAATTTACATCCATCACACCTATATTTATTTTTTCTTCCTTTTTTACTAGATTGCTGGCAAAAGAGACTTCACAATTTCAAGGAAGAGTTTGAACCTTCCAACTCTCTCCATATCCCCCTGTATTCCATACACCGATAATCTTCATCGCTCTCTGAATAATGGTTCCTGCAGTCTTCCGTCTGCTGGTAAGTTTGCGAAGGGTGTGTCCGTCTCTGTTAATGTCAGAATGTGTGACTGCAAATTGGCATTTGTCACCAAATTGTTTTACGAGCACAGTAGTCATTTACAATAAATAGACTCTGAAATGCAGGCAAGTACCTTATGACCCATGTATCACCATTTATTTAAGCTTCAATATACATGTAATGTACAGATTGCTTTAAATGTGTTTACATTTGAACGGTTCTTTCTTATCCATAGACGATTGCTGCAACTTGTTTAACCCCGTAAGGACCAAACTTCTGGAATAAAAGGGAATCATGACGTGTCACACATGTCATGTGTCCTTAAGGGGTTAAAGTTGTTACTGCCTTGTATACCACAATGTACATTAGCCCATTTTTATGTGTGTATAAAGCTGTAGATCTGTCTTGCTGTATTCTGTCTCTTGTCCTAGTGCTGTATTATTTCCCACACATCGTATAATGGATAATGGATCTCTTCTCCCAAATTTTCATAATCTGCTTTTTCAGAGACACCCCTTCAACAATGGCTGAATGTTTTGTGCTCCTGTGCCAATGTGTTATTTATTAAAAAATAGTATAATGTTTACCTGTTTATCTACAGGATGGTTGTATGCATTTAAATCCATATTCATTTGAAAAATATTAAAACCTGTTTGTTTGTTTAGATTTTCTGCCCAGCTTAACAGATCAACAAAACAACCTCAATAAAGTCTGCTTGTCATTGCCTGAGAATGAGTCCATGATACTTCCAGCATCTTCCTCTTGTGACTTGTCACCAAGGGAGCCGTTTTCCCCTATCAGTGAAATGAGTGTCAGCACCCTGACTAGTCACAGTGGGGAAGCCGGCAGCCAGGAAGACCCACCAAGTGAAACAGATGATGGTCCTGAATACTTGGCTATCGGAAACATGAGCCGAAGAGCATCTAACAGTAGCAGTGGCTCAAACTTGTTCCCCAGCAGCTCTCAGAAGCCTGATGCCACATGTCCCATTTCTCCCACCTCTTCTCTTCTAACAGTACCTCGCCGCTCAAGTTTTTCTGAGGGACAAACCTGTAATGGGTCAAGTCACACCAAAAAGAGCCACATGCGATCACACTCTGATACTAATGTTGGCATGGGGAAACTTCAAGGTAAAAACCTGGATTATACTTAAAATCATTTTTCTCTTTACATGTTCTTGTGCTGTGAATTTATCCACACTGTATAATTATAAGTAACTACTGCAACAATGTAACTTAAAAAAAGGTGCTTGTCCGTACTCAAGTACCCAATCCGTTAAGAATGAGTTAATCATAGGCTTAGCGAATTTTCACAGATCTACTTGGAACACTTTGTAACTGAGCTAGCCCCCTGATTCGTATAGAATTGCAAGTCCATGAGCGTAATATTCTAAAGCAGGTTTTTAGGCTGCCTTATTCACCTCTCCAGTACTCTATCTCTGGAAATGAACTCCTAGAGACTAAGAAACCGATGGCTAGCTATCCTATGGCACACTAACTGTGAAATGTAGTCACTAATATAAATGCCAGTATTTTCCATTACACAAACTGTATCTTGTATATTCTGACATTTTAGATTTTTCAGAAATTCCAACACAGTCAAAAAGAGATTTATAAAAATACTCTATCTTTATGAAAAGGTCCAGTAACAGAGCCGCTTTAAGAGTAATTCTTTTGGGGCTACTTTCTTAAAGAAAAACAATTATCGTCCATTGGTCTCCTTGGCAATTTTGTTAAATGTTGAGCCTTTCCCCCAAAATTGCTATTACACATTCTCCCTCCAATGTGTTATTTATTTTGCAGATTGGCGTTTCTTGATACACTATGCAACTAAACCTACACTTTTTTAAAATTTTATATTGACAATAAGTGCCTCTTTAATTTTATGCTTTATAATACTAAAATAGAATGTGGCATCATTCAAACAGTATGCCATGGCATTCTGGGAATTAAAATGTGTATGGTCTGGGATTGTTAATATGTGTGAATTATATTGTTATATTTTGAAGAACTTTATTTGCTGACGATGTAAGCTTGCTTATACTCCATGATAGTATCTGGATTCTGAGCCATGTTGCACCTATATACTGTAAACACTGATATACTGTATCAATGAGGGTAAACATGAGACTCCGGATATTTCAAAGCTCAATTTTCTGTAAAGCTCAGTTACAAATTATATGGCAGTTGTAGGTCAGAAACATCTTGGGTGCCAGAATTGGCAATTATTGGTATAGATCTGTATCAAAGGAGACAAGGAAGGTGTTCTATCACAAGCTTAGCTGGTTTATGGCCTAGTTAATCTAGAACTCTGTAGATGTGCTGTGTTTTTTTTTTTTGTTTTTTTTTTAATTGTCTGTCTGACTCAGAAAATCGCAAGTGAAACCCTAGTGGCATTTTTGTTTATTGTTGGAGTAACCTGAGCATTTCAAACTGTTTTAAGACAGGCTTGTTCTTGCAAGCCATTACACTTACAATACATTTGAAGTACTTTGGGGATATAAGCATATCAGGTGTGGCTGGGTTCCCATTGCTAACTTGTAGATAACATTTTTCCTGTAACACATTTCTTGCTTTAACTCCCTGACTGCTTGCACTAGGAGGTGGCCGGAATATAACCATAATTATGGAAGATCCTGTGGCAGGTCCGGCTTCTTGTACAACGCACTGATCCCTTGCAGAAGCACTGGTGTGATGTAATATAAACAAGTGTTTTATATATTGCCTCCATTCATTTTAATTAAGCCCATGAAAATATTGGGTGAAGTCAGTAGATTATGGATGAAGTAGCAATTAATACAAAATTTAAACTATAGTTTCCAGTTATTTTAAATTGTGTTCTGCGAAATCTATTGCTGAACTGAATGATGTGACACATCATGTCGCATCAATATTTTTGCTTGGTTGTGTTAGTATTTAAACCTGCAGCCAAAATATTGCTCTGTTTAACACCAGTGCTTCTGTCTGTCATGCAGTCTTTGAATGTTGCATGTGCATTTATATGATTGTCCTGGGTCAGTCTTTCCCCTTTACCTCACATTCGACTTTCCTTCGTCTTTCCAATTTTACCTATTCCATTTCACCCCGTACTGGATGATTTGAACACTTTTAAAGTTTGACTCAAAAGTATTTTCCTAAACTTGCTATACTGTAGTGTCGACTAGAAGGTAGTTAAGAAAAAATAAATAATTATGTTTATTTGCCACAAATCATGGATTGAGAAGTAGAAGGCATCTCCGTCATCACTGGTTCTCTCTCTGTGTATTTTCTACTAATCTCTATATTTCAGCAGTCACAAGTCAGGTCAGGGACGGAGAGTATCTTGCACCATACCAGTGCAAGGGATGTATGTGGTTAAAGTTGTAATACATTCATTGTGTGTTTCATTTGTCCACATTTGCCCCAAAGAATTAACCTTGTAAGAGGATTTCAAGGATTTCAAGTGTTAATTTTAATGTAAACTTTGTTTAACTCTTAAATGATAGGGCATCTGGTATTGTGTAGTCTATTTTTTGACAAGGCTGACTTAAAATACATTGTCTTTCTTTAGAGTCGCATTCAGTGAAAAGTAATCCTGCCATTTATGGAAAATCAAATACACTGTCTCCTTATGTAGATCATGGTAAGTAAAGATCACCTGCAACAGTGGACCATGATTAATTACCCTCCGCATTGCCAATGCAAAGTCATTGATTGCATAACACAGATTTAGTGCTCCTATTGCTGCAATGGACACATCTGCCTGTATATTACGTCTTACAATATTACACATTTAAACTCAATAGGCATTACAATATAAAAAATAACACTGCTTTGTCCTTGAGTAGTGCCCCTCTATAATAATGCATGGCCTAGTTATCTTGCTTTCCATTGGTCACCGTGACTGAAGGTTCCATAATGCACTATAACTCTCTGACTCATGGCCAATAATCATAGGTTTGGACAGCAAGGGAGATTTGTAAGCCACGGTGTACATGGAGGACCTCATTGCACAATAACTTCCAATGGCAATAATCCTTAATGGTGCCACTTAAATGTGGGAAATTCATAGTAAGTAAGGTTTACTCCCCCATTAGTGTCTTAATGTGTAGCTCATAGCCAAAGTTTTCTCTTTCATCAGCTCCTCACTTCAAATGATAAACTTTGATTTTTGTACTAAAAGATAGTAATTGATAAACACAAGCTCTTACGTAGCATTCTTCTGGTGTATCTAGATTTACATTCTGTATGATTTGTGTTTACAGACAACACTCAGTATTTGAGTGCAACTGATGGAATATTTCGGAGACCATCAAAGGGACAGTCTTTGATCAGTTATCTCTCAGAGCAGGATTTTGGGAGCTGTGCTGATCTGGAAAAGGTAAGCTTTCTTGCTTGTAGTCTGTCTTTATTGTGCATTGACCAGTGCCTGTGCAACGCAATAACAATAAACCATAGCAAAATTGCAATGCAATTACAATTAAACAACAACAAAATTACATATAGATTTTTTTTTTTTTATATATAACCATCTAGACTCTGGCTCATTTCTGGAAAAGGATCAATATATCAATCCACTGTATCATTGAGGGCCCATGTTTTAATAATCTAATCTACTTTTTGAAATGTTGCTTATAAGGAGGATGCTTTGGTTTTGGGGATGATCCCTAGTGATTATGTCCTTTAATATGGCTTATGGTAGTGGTTCCCAAACCAGTCCTCATGGCCCACCAACAGTCCAGGATTTATGTATTTCCCTGTTTTATTCCAATGGGGATACTAACAAAACCTGGACTGTTGGTGGGTCTTGAAGACTGGTTTGGGAAACACTAGCTTATGGCATTTTTTTTTTTTTTTTAATCCAACTCCTTCCACAAACGTCTGATGGTTTTTGTTCACAGAAACAAATTTATAGAAGGTGTAATATTTGGTTAACTTTCTTTCCAGGAAAATGCTCATTTCAGCATTTCAGAGTCTCTGATTGCAGCCATTGAGCTAATGAAGTGTAACATGATGAGTAGGCAGCTTCAAGAAGAGGAAGAAGACAGCGACCGTGAAATTCGTGAGCTGAAACAGAAGATCCATCTACGCAGGCAACAAATACGAACTCGCCGGACACAGAGCAGCTCGGGAAATGAAGAGTCGAGCAGTAAGAAACTTAAAATTGGACATTTACACTGTGTAATGTGTATTCAGAACAGATCCATCCATGTTTAGTTTTACTGTAAAATCTGGACTTGGTTCTACAACCAGGGTTGTTCAACATTTCTCATATAGTTTAAAAAAACAAAAGTGAGATGACCCCAGGCCATTGTATTTTATTACCTTATTTATGGCTGCTTCTCTTTTAGGCATGGGTGTAACAGAGAATGGGTCACAGATAAGTTCCCATGACTCCACACAAATATTAGACTCTGGCTCAACAGATGAAGTAGATCAAAACGACATCAAAGGTATGTTTCCCCTGCAGTTATAGATTAAGGAAACTTGCACAAGCTTCACAGTCATGCAGGATTCTGTGACTAGTCTAGCTCTTACCCAAATGGGTGTGAATGTTTGGAATATGTATAAAGTAGGTGTTGTTCTAATGTGTGGAGGAAAAGACATAATGACTAAGTAGGAATTAGTAGTAGTGAGATTTCCAGGCAGCAGTATGTCACATGGCCAAATAAGAGCTTGATAAAACTATAGATAGTACTGCTACAAACTCTTATCATTCAAACAAATATTTTAATAATAATTTACCCCTTGTGATCCAGGTAACCCCTTAGAGGTCTGCTTCTCTAAAATACTTGGTCCTTATGGTTTCTTCTTGTTTGTACTTTCAAATTATTGGTCTATGCTGCACAGGCCATACATGCAGGTTACAGAAATCTAAAAACTGTCACACGTTTCCAGCTGTTACTACATTCAGCTCTGTCCGTCCTGCCATCTATTCTAATTTCGTGTGTGTGTGTGTGTGTATATATGTATACTCAGTGTCTCTCGGATTCTGAGTAAGAGGTAGCTAGAGTTCTTCATTATAGCTACAGTGGAATACTTATTTTAAGGTGATCTATTGAGTTGTACTTCAAAAATAGGAGAAAATCTCGAAATGCTTCTGTGGGCTTTCTAAGACTGCCCTCTCTAGTCTAGTAGAGGTCACTCAGAGCTCCTCTGAAGGTATTGTTTTTTTACCCCCTTGTTTCAATATGTGATAATTCCCTGTCTAATTTGTAATTTCTGCAATGGTGTCCGTTCTTGTTCAGATGCTGACATTAACAGATCCTCAAGCAGCAGGCCCGTCCAGAGCTCTGAATCTATGTGAGTACTGTTACACATATTTATTTTATAAACCTTTTTATCTATTTGAAGTCAGCTATATTGATAATGACCACTGCAATCTCTTGACCAAATGTATTTGTCCAAATTAATGTTGAAGAAGCTGTTGACTAACTTTTAAGGGGAAATTCATATAATTATGTCTTTGCAAAACTGATTTAAGGAACTCTGTGGATTCCAGGACCATATTCCTGATTGGAAGTGTGGTTTCCTATTGTTTGTCACTTACCAAATAAACCAGCTATGTCTTGTATAACATTAAGTAACATGGCTTATAAGCAATAATGCAGACATCACTGCAAACTAAAAGTGGTCATAAATATAAGAGTAGATCTAAATCCTAAAATTGTCAGAAATTTTGGAGGTTTTAGTTTGAAACCTGACTTGGTCTTTAGGCACAATCTGCAGCCTTTATTAATCACTTTACAGTTATTTTTAACACACACACTGTTTCTCAGGAAGCCTGGTAAAAAAAAAAAAAAAAAAAAAAACAACCCACAAATAAGGTTTCTGCTGCCTGTAACATTATTTTGCTTATTAGTGCCAATACTATGTATAATACAGGATGTTATCACAGGACTTGCATATATGCGCGCACACACAAATATGTATTCCTGATACTTTAGTATCCTGTAGTTGATCTCAGCCAATTCAACGCTTTTCCACAAATAAGCATTAGAAGACCAGTGCTCATGCTCTGCAAAATGCAACACTGCACCAATCAGTGTCTATAAGACCATCTGAAATATCCGTGTTTTACATGGCTATTTCGTAGGAAGTGCCTATCAGTATGATAGCCACTAGAGGCATTTAAATCTTGCACTGTAAACATTGCTGTTCCTGCAGAAAGGCAATGTTTGCAATTTCAGAGTTAAAACTACAGAGATGGCCGTCATACTGATATGAAGTGTGTTTTTTTTACCTTTGCTAGTATTACATTTGTTTTTTTACTATACTCCACTTTGAATTCTAGTTCCCTCTGTACACTGGTGATATAAGCACAAAACTTGAGTTCACATGTCTGCCTCTATTGTATATGTTGAAAGAGCACCTCTGGCATCATAAGCCTTTTATCTCAAAAGGTAGTGGTGCCTAGAGTCCATTGGCGCCAGCTTACCTTCAAGTCATAGACTGTTTGATTGGTTTCAGATAGAGGTAGTGTACCTAGATTCCTGTCACCCTGCCTCTTATTTGGTGCCAATTTATTGCCACCTCCAATTAGTGTACGAGCAAGTGCCTTTGCATTACCCGGAGCACCAGAGGGGGGGGAACATGAATGAGTACCTGGGCAAACTGCTTTAGGGAACTCCAGGCATTGTTATCACTTCATGGGGTTCCTTTAAGTTCACACCTTTTGTATGTAATTTCCTCTTGGTATGTGGTTCATTCTCTACATTTCTGGTGCATGTTTTTGTTGTAAGAGATAAGCATATACCATAGCTATCAGGAATAAAATTGCACAGCGTTATCAGTTGTGTATCTTTTGTATAGAAATCCAGCTCCCATTTTTCTTTTAGCTCAATGTGTTTGGTGTGTTTTGATGGTGCAACAGTGCTCCACGCTAACGGCAATAAATAGTTACACTTCCAGTCACACCTGTAAAACAAACGTGTGCTTCTGGCAATTTTATGCACATTATGGCATATTCTGATTTACATAATGTGCTCTTATTTCCAATGCTTCATCGCTACTTAAACTGTTTGGTTCATCCACTAAACCTGGAATTGGGGGAAAACTAAGAAGGCAGTAGCAAATATTAGACCAAAATAGCCAAGCAGAAAGAAATAGCGGAGATAGAGATGTTTTTCATTTTGTGTCTTTTTACCTGAAATGTTCAATTACCTTGAACGTAATGAAAATTTCCCATGTTAGTGTATAATCTAACACAGATTTGTGCTGCTGTGGTGGGAATTCATTCTTTTGCCATTTTTTTCTTTCTTTCTTAAAAAAGCTTCATGCAGTGCTGTTGTAAGTACTGTGCATTGTCATTGTGATGTTTCAAAATAAATGTCCTCTCACAGGGATATTTACTAAAGGGAGAATTGAAAGTGAATGCCAAATCAAAGGTATAAATAGCCGAACTGGATACATTATCTAAATCAGCTGTGCTTTCAGTTCAGCTACTCTGGCCTTAAAGGAACACTATAGGGTCAGCAAACTAAAAGAAATTGGTCTAGATGAATATTCTGGTTCTTGGGTAGAACATTGGCTTAAGGATAAAGTACAACGAGTTGTAATTAATGGTAAATTTTCAGACTGGACAAAAGTGGTAAGTGGTGTCCCTCAGGGTTCTGTTTTGGGACCACTTCTATTTAACATATTTATAAATGATCTTGAAATAGGCATTGAAAGCCATGTATCAGTGTTTTCAGATGACACAAAACTTTGTAAAGTAATAAAATGTGAGCAGGATATTGCTTTGCTGCAGAGAGATTTGGATAGATTGGGGGACTGGACACTAAAATGGCAGATGAAATTTAACATAGAGAAATGCAAAGTTATGCACTTCGGGGTTAAGAATGCACAAGCAACTTACACACTAAATGGTAGTGAATTAGGGATAACCACACACGGGAAGGATTTGGGAATTGTAATAGACAACAAATTAGGCAGCATTATGCAATGTCAATCTGCAGTTGCTAAGGCCAGTAAGATTTTGTCATGTATAAATAGGGGCATAAATTTATACATATAAATATAATTCTGCCTCTTTATAAATCGCTGGTAAGACCACACCTTGAATATGCTGTGCAATTTTGGGCGCCTGTTCTAAAGAAGGATATCATGGCACTGGAGAGAGTCCAGAGACGAGCTACAAAATTGATAAAAGGAATGGAGCATTTTAGTTATGAAGAAAGGTTAAAAAAAATAAATCTGTTTAGTTTGGAAAAACGGCGCTTGAGAGGGGATATGATAACTTTATACAAATATATTCGGGACCAGTACAAACCTTTATCTGGAAATCTATTCATAAACAGGGCTATACATAGGACACGAGGTCACACATTTAGGCTGGAAGAAAGGAGATTTCATCTAAGGCAAAGAAAAGTTTTTTTACAGTAAGAACAATAAGGATATGGAATTCTCTGCCTGAAGAGGTGGTTTTGTCAGAGTCCATACAGATGTTTAAACTGAAATTGGATAAATACTTACAAAAACATAACATACAGCCATATAATTTCTAATTAGTGGGGTAATAGCTGCTTGATCCAAGGAGACATCTGACTGCTAGTTTGGGGTCAAGAAGGAATTTTTTTCTAGTTTGTGGCAAAATTGGAAGCGCTTCAGACCAGGTTTTTTGCCTTCTTTTGGATCAACAGCAACAACATTTGTGAGGATGGCTGAACTTGATGGACGCAAGTCTCTTTTCAGCTATGTAACTATGTAACACAAAGTATTCCTGACCCTATAGTGTTAAAAACACATTCTAGCCTCCCATTTTCCCTCTAAATATAGTAGAATCTTATTTTTATTCCAGTCTCCTGCTGATGGCTCTGCTCCTGATCTGCTTGCTTGGATGACTTCATCAGAAGTTATTGTCTCAGCCAATCAAGAGACTGTCAAGGAAGCAGATCAGGGGCAGAGCCAGCACAAGCCAAACACAGCCCTGGCCAATCAGTATCTCCTCATAGAGATTAATTGAATCAATGCATCTCCTGGATGAACGTTCAGTGTCTCTATGCAAAGGGTGGAGACACTGAATGTCAGGAAGCACCTCTAGTAGCCTTCTGAGGAGTTGCCAGTGGAGGTATCCATATGGTTTAATATAAACACTGCCTTTTCTATGAAAAACATACCCCATTTTGAATACCCTGGGTTGTCTACTTTAAAAAAATATATGGTTTGATGTGGGTAAATTACATTTTTCTTCATAGATTGGTGGTAAAATGGTTGCATGAAAGAAAAGAGTCAAAATACCCCAAGTTTAATAACTTAGGTTGTCTTCTTTTAAAAAATATATATATATATATATATGTGAAGGGTTATTCTGGGATTCCTGACACATTTCTTATCTCAGGACAAAATTTAGAAACTATTTAGCATGGGTGTTTTTTGGCGGTTACAGATTTTGGTGCTCATTGTTAGAAAAGTTTTTTTTTTTTTTTTTTTTCTGTTTTTTTGTTCATATTTTATAAAAATTTTTTATAGTAGATTCTATGATGAACATCATGGTATCTTTAGAAAGACCATTTAATGGCGAAAAAAAACTGTATATAATATGTGTGGGTACAGTAAATGAGTAAGAGGAAAATTACAGCTAAACATAGCAGAAATGTAAAAACAGCCCTGGTCCTTAACGGTAAGAAAATTGAAAAGCGGTCTGGTTACTACATGTTGAATTATTTTAGAATTCTCGTTTTAGTGACTAATACTGGTTAGATAAGCTCTCCATACACGCCTCTGATTTACAACACCTGTACACAAATATTCTCTTTTCCTATAATTCTGTGTTTATACCTTGGATATAAATGTTCTAGAGGGAATCTCTGTTCCTACCTCTGCTACTAAATCTGCAACTAATATTTCCCTTACTTTCAGTGGTGTAGCCATGAACCCTTCCCCACAGGTGTGCTGCTTTGGTTTTATTATGGACTGTCCTCTGTTTACTCATCACATCCAGTGAGTGTGGAGCCTGCATTGTAAAACTTGCATCTGCAACTGAATCTGTAGCTATGCACTTATCTTGTCCCAGTGGCATTATTGCAGCCTGGCATAATCCTTGTAAGGCAGGGGTTAGATACCTCGCTTATTATGGCCATTCTGACATTGCCATTGAAAGAGTAAAAACAGTTCTCTGCCTCTATACCGGACAATCCAGAATTAAAGGGACACTCCATGCATGCTAACCATTTCATCACATTACCAAGGGGACTCCAGACACTATAACCACTTCAGTGAGATGAGGCAATTAGTGACTTCCGTGTCCCTTTAATTCTGATGCCAAGCCTGTTTCTTTCTTGTTCTAATACTTTGCATGTGTCTGTCTTTATTCCAGCTGCCTGTATTCTCTCTAGGATTTCAGTTTTAAAAACCTTTGCCTTTAATCTCTTTACAACGGCACTCCTTGCTGGTTTCAATCTTCTAACCAAATGCAGCCTATTGTGTTCCCTCTACTGATGCCCTGCATCTGTTTTCCTCCTTTGTTGTTACCTCTGTTCTATGCATGGGTAACATAGCATGTGAACACCGTACATTCACAGATTGCTACACGCACTGCAATAAAATAATTGTGATGCCATCCAGTGGCCTTAATGAGCAGCAGCATCTTAAGAAACCAAAAATTATTAAAGGGACACTGTAGGCACCCAGACCACTTCAGCTAATTGAAGTGGTCTGGGTGCTGTGTCCCTTTTGCACCTAGTGCTGTAATGTAAAACATTGCAGTTCCAGAGAATTGCAATGTTTACATTGCCGCTCTAAGTCTGCCTCAGTGGCTGTCTAACAGACAGCCACTAGAGGCACTTCCGGAATCGAAGTGGGCCTTTGGTCCGTTGTCTGACACTTGACGTCCTCACGCTCCGCATGAAGCCCTTCAGTGTCAGATTTTTTCCCCATAGGAAAGCATTAATAAATGCTTTCCTATGGGGAAATCCTAATGAGAGCGCGGCCATTGTCGAGCATGCGCATTGGGTCTCCCACCGCTGGCGGAGGAGTGTGGGCGGAGACTGACCCAGCGCAGAGGGCCATTGGCGCTGGATTCAGGTAAGTGATTGAAGGGGTTTTAACCCCCTCAGTGCCAAGGGAGGGGGGCATTGCAGCAATCTATAGTGCCAGGAAAACAGCTTTGTTTTCCTGGCACTATAGGATCCCTTTAATAATGATGGCTTACAATAACATAATAAGGTGGACAGACATTTTATTTTTGCATGAGCCTTAGTTAATAAGTTGTATCTCAGCGCTGCATTCATGATGAAGCTGGTAGTTAAAATATAAAGCTCAGATGGGTTGTATGTTTGTTTTTTGTTTTTTTTTGTTTTTTTCTTCCCAAGTGTTCTGTATTTATCTTGGTAAACTGTAATTTTTATTTTGGTCCACAAAACTTTATTATATTGGGTTTGGTTAGATGTGAAAGATTTGTGTTAAAAATAGTTGAATGTAAAATCATGGCTTTGGGACAAAAAAATACAGGCATTTAACATAACCATTTTTTTTATTTTTGCATCATGTTGCACCAGCTCTCCAGTTTGACTTTTTTTTTTTTTTTTTTATCTGAACATGTCTGACTATTAACCAAAAATGTATTGGGGCACACTCATCAGTGCGATATTATTACTAATACTCCATCACTTTAATCTGCAGATCTTACTCCTTCCTTCATTCAAACTCCGCTGAAGCTGTGGCCATGGGTCTCCTGAAGCAGTTTGAAGGAATGCAGTTGCCGGCTGCCTCGGAGCTGGAGTGGTTGGTACCAGAGCATGATGCACCACAGAAGGTATGTCTACAAGGAAGGAGTCCTCTCTCATGTCTCCATGCTGGAAGAGTGCACAGAATAAAGGAGATACAATTACATTTAGATTTTATGGGCATCATAGTTTATAATAGTCAGTTTAAAGAGGAACTCTTCCTTAAATGAAATTTACACTGCTCAATGTGTCATTAGAGTAAACCCTTTTAAAATGAGTACCATGTCTGGAGTATAGATGAGGTATGAAGTACCGTTACCTTCATTTCTGTGTCCAGGTGTGCTTGGGCATTTCCAGAAATATGCCATACAGCTTAGGCTTTAAATAAGTGTTTTTGAATTAGCTCTTCAAGTGAGATAATATGACGTAATGTTTTGAAAAATATTTGAATATTTTTATTTATTTAAATTTTATATATATATATATATATATATATTTTGAATAGATGTCAAAAGTGTATCAACAATAATAAATCAAGGCCTTAGTTGAAATAAAATTGTGTTACCAGTGATACAAAATGGAGCGCTGAAAACATGTGCAATTTTCTTACCATTATTAAAATGATAAATCACAGATATGATATACATTAAACACATGGAAAGGAAAAAATGAATTTATAGTGCAGATGGTAATGTACATAAAATTTGGAATAAATGATGATAGAGTCCACTCACATGGGTCAGAGGCTGTAACTACTGGCTCAGTCAACCGCGCTTTTATGCCTTTTAAAGGGACTTTCCAGTGCCAGGAAAACAATCCATTTTCCTGGTACTGCAGGTCCCCTCTCCCTCCCACCACTCATCCCTGGTTGCTGAAGTGGTGAAAACCCCGTCAGTGACTTACCTGAGACCCAACCGATGTCCCTCAGCGGTGGTTTCGGGTCGCCGCCACTCTTCCTCTTCATTACGACAGCCGGCGGGGGAGACTGATCCCGCCCGCCGGCTGAGGAGACCTAAAGAGCTCTCCATAGGAAAGCATTGAAAAAATGCTTTTCAATGCTTTCCTATGGGGAATTGGGCGACGCTGGAGGTCCTCACACAGCATGAGGACGTCCAGCGACGCTCTAGCACAGGAAGCAGGAAGTGCCCTCTAGTGGCTGTATAGTAGACAGCCACTAGAGGAGAAGTTAACCCTGCAAGGTAATTATTGCAGTTTATGAAAACTGCAATAATTACCGTTGCAGGGTTAAGAGTAGTGGGAATTCTCTGGAACTGCAATGTTTTACATTACAGCACTAGGTGCAAAAGGGAAACAGCACCCAGACCACTCCAATGGGCAGAAGTGGTCTGGGTGCCTCGAGTGTCCCTTTAAGGTATCATACCACCTCCCATCGAATGGATTGCCAAATGTGAACATAGGGAAAGAAGGGGGGAAAACTCCAATGGTATAGTATATTCTAACTTGATATAAAGTATTGTTTACATTTCTTAAGCTCACCTTGTTCGGAACCCACAAATCCTGCCTCTGGGGTTGAATACCTGTTGCCAAATTGGGGGCTGGCAAAAACCCTAAGAGGGCCACCTCTGGAACTGCAAACCGTGGGGAAATTTCACTGAGGGTGTACGTGTAAAAAGAAAAAAAAGTGTCGGCCAACTGCGGTCCCGCGTGCGGCCTCTAGCTTTGTGTCTGTAACACATGACATTTGCATGTATGATTGTTAAAGTAAGTGAGAAGTTTACCTACTAGTTGTCTGCGGAGTCATGTCGGAGAGAGGTTAGTGTCAGCTAGGTGAGTAGGTTACAATATGTGTGCAGCCAATATTATTTAAAGTTAAACTGAAACATTAAAATAAAATTTAAACCGAAACATTAAAATAAAATATAGCAGTCTCAAAACTGTACTGTATAAGTTCATCTCAGGTGATGGAGCAAGTTGTCCCCTGGAGCTGGGTGACTATCTGCAAATCAAGTGGTGCCTCTGGCAGGCGGTGATCTTTGGGGTTCCTTCGGAGTAAACTCTGGTATGTTAGCAGGGTTTAACTGGGACAGTCTTGGTCTGTTCGCCAGTGGCGCTCGCAGTATACCTGCCGACAATAGGATGGACTCCAGCTCCTGATGGTTTTGGGCCTTGTGGGTGGTCCCTGGGTAAAGGAGACAGCTCGTGGTGTTCCCCAGCGGTATGGAATCTCTCTGTTGCGGAGGTTCTGTAGCAGCGGCTGCAGAGATTTCCGCCAAGTTAGGGTGCTCTTAGTAAGGTCTGGAAATATTTTTAGTTCTGAGCCTTCAAACAGTAAAGGAGTTTTTCCTTTTAACGTGGCCAGGAGGGAGGCCTTATCTGTTAGTGCCTGGAATCGTAGTATGAGGTCTGCAGTCGCGGTTGCCGGGGCTCGGGCTGGTTTCGGCAATCGGAAGAGCCCGTCCAGTTTCACAGATTTGATTTGTTTAGGAGGTAGTAGGATTCCGAGGAGACGTCGAACATAGTGGGGTAATTCAGTGAGGACAACCGTGTCCGGTATCCCTCTGATTTTCACGTTGTGTCGTCTCCTCTGGTCCTCTAGGGCATCCAGCCGATCTGTGGTGGCGTTTTGCTGTGCCTTCAGGTTAGTCACTCGTTGTTCTATCTTGGTGAGCCTGGAGTTATGGGTGCTTGTACTTGCCTCCAATTGGGTAATTTTGATCGTAGCACCTTCTATGGCCTCCTTATAGTAGGCCATGTCTGCCGCCAGGTCTTTGCGGAGCTCAGCTAGCATTTTTAAAATTTGATCCGCAGTCACTGGGTCCCCGGTGTTCTTGGGTTCAGTGTTGCGGTCAGGTGTGGGTCGGAAGGAGGCTCCTTCCATGAGGTCTGTGGCAAAGTCTTCTGATGAGTATGAGGAAAAGTCATCCGTGAGCGCCATCTTGGACCATGTGGCCTGCTGCGTGTTCCGCAGCATGTCTCCAATGTCTCTGCCGTGGGGGCCTTTGTCGGCCTTCACCTTTTTTGTCTTTCGGCCCATTGTCTGCTCGGTACCGGTGGTGTACTTTGTGGGGTCTTTTGGGTTCAGATTCCCCCATGCAAGGTATCTTTTTAATACCTAAGTGTGTCACTAGTTATACCCTGAGTACTCTTTAATATGGCCAAGTTTTTGGACCAACTAAAAAACCCAAATCAATGGTGCCTGGATGCCGAAAAGGTATTCACAGATAAGGAAAGCACCTTTCTTTCCCAAGAGACAAGCATAGATTCTAAATTTAGACATGTCTCTAATGTCTGCAAACAGCAAATACGTCTCGGTTGGGAGATCTCATCCCTGCAAAACTATATGAGCAAATCCATGATTCCTAGGGGCCTCAGGGTACAAATTATGCCTAATGTTCAAATGGAAGATCCCAATCTTTTGAAAGAATGGGAAGAGGCAGCTAATACCTGTTCCCGTACCTTTATGGATATTATATGCCGCTTTGAGAGTCAAAGATTAGTAGAGACTAACGAGAGAGTGAAGGAGGCAGTTGAAGCAATCCAAAGTCATGTAGAAGACACTAATTTTGAGTCCAAGGAACTTAAACTTCAACAAAATTTAAATAAATATAAGGATTCAATTAAAAATCGTAAACACAAAAAGTTCCTAAGAGACAATCAGGATTATAAAAATGACAGAGTATATAGGAAGTTTAAGAAACATACCCGGGTCGATTCAGATCAATATAGCACCTCTGAGTATGAAACCTCGGATACTGATAATGAGGGTACAAGTACATCTTCTATGCCCCCAAGTACCACCCAGACTAAAGGGATCTTAAAGAAAGGGGTGACTTTTTTAGGCCAAAACCCCCGCGAGGGGGAAGTTCAATCACAGTTCAGACAAACAAGATACAGGGGGAGAGTACGGAAACGCTATTGAATCATAACCTAAAGGTCATTAATCTTTCGGACAAAACTCTCTCTGAACTCCAGTATCAAGTATTGACAAGAGGATTATCCTTTGTCCCTGTCCCCCCATTTAATAGTTTTGAATGGGTAAAAGACATCCACCTCTTTGGGAGACGCTTAGCCTTACATAAATTTTTCCAAAATGAAAAGGAGAAAAGAGCTAAGGATCTGGGGTTCAGTATTAGAGAATACCAATGCCTGAATGACCTAGTACATCTCCTGGAAGAGAATGACGAAACATCCAACTCCCCCTACACTGACTTACGTCCTAAGAGTAAATTTACCCCGAATATTAAAGATTTCAGAAACATAGACATGTTTGTAGAATCCACTTGCAATATGATTCAAAAATTGCGGGTCGATTCTTTACAACCTCGTCCGTACAGTAATCTCTCTGGGAAAGAATGGCGAGCCCTCTGTGACCTACGTGATCGCGAGGATATTATCATTAAACCCGCCGACAAAGGTGGGAATATTGTGGTGCTAAATACACCACAATATATCCAATTGACAGAAAGAATACTCACAGATGTGAACACATATAAAATCTTGCCCACAGATCCCTCTATGAAATTTTTGTCAGAACTTAAAGGACTCCTAGACTTAGCGTTCGATGATGGTATCCTGAGTAGAGATGAATATGCCTTCATCTATGTTAAAAATCCGACAGTGTCAACATTTTACTGTCTACCCAAGGTACACAAACAATACGCAACCTTAACAGCAAGACCAATTGTGTCGGGGTCACAAAATTTGACATGTAAAGCTAGCATATATGTTGACAAAATACTTCGATCTTTTGTAGAGAAATTACCTTCCTACTTAAGAGATACGAAGGATACACTTAAATGTCTGGCCTCCATTCATATTCCAAGTGATGCTATACTTTGTAGCCTTGATGTGGAGGCCCTATACTCATCTATTCCACATTCTTTAGGATTAGCACATGCCAGACATTTTCTAGAGACACGGGGGTCTAGACACCAACGCCATACCTCGTTTGTATTGGATCTACTACATTTTGTGTTAACGCACAATTTTTTTCTATTTAATGGCCAATACTACCACCAGGTGCAAGGCACGGCTATGGGCACATCTTGTGCACCTTCATATGCCAACCTGCACCTGGGTTGGTGGGAAGAAAAGGTGGTCTTTTCCAATGACAACGTTGAGTACACAAAGTTCATCTATGTATGGAAAAGATACATAGATGACGTTCTCATCGTCTGGACGGGCACTAAAGACTGCTTTGCAACATTTGTAGAAAGACTAAATTCCAACAATTTGAATCTGAAATTTACAATGGAGGTTGGAGATACATCCCTTAATTTTCTTGACTGCACCTTTAGAGTCACTACCGAACACAAGATTGAAACCACTTTATTTAGGAAACCTACTGCAACAAATACAATGCTACGTTGGGAAAGCCATCACCCAACTTCATTAAAAAGAGGTATTCCCATTGGACAATACCTCCGGCTACGCAGGAACTGTTCAACAACTGAAGAGTTCACCACTCAAGCCAGGTCACTCAGAACTAGGTTTAAGGATAGGGGGTATCCCAATCGCTGTTTGAAATATGCATACCAAAGAGCATTATACAGTGACAGACCGGAACTCCTCAAAGATAAACCAGTTTCTAATGAACCAACACTGATTCGGTGTGTTACTAACTTTGACTCAGGTTGGAATCAGGCGAAAAAGATCTTGGGGAGATTTTGGCCTTTACTATACCAAGACTCCGAACTCAAAAGTGTAGTGACCCCTAATGTATCACTTACAGCACGTAGAGGTAGAAACCTCAAGGAAATTCTAGTACCCAGTTATTTCTCAGGGAAGAAACCCGGAAAAAACTGGTTATCCACGCAAGGAACTTACAAATGTGGAAGATGTGTAGCGTGCAGATACATTAGTAAGAATTCCAAATGTCTGACAGACTCAAGTGACCAAATGGTGCTTAATGTGAAGCAATTTTTTAATTGCAACACTAAAGGCATCATATACCTTATGGAGTGTACATGCGGACTAAAGTACGTAGGCAAAACTATTCGTCCCCTCAAAAGGAGGGTAATGGAACATGTACATTCTGTCCGAAATCCTAGGGATACCTCAGTGTCACGACACTTGAGGAACTGTCACCACGGTGATTCAGGTGGTTTGAAGTTTGCAGGGATCGAGAAGACCCTCCTGGGACGTAGAGGAGGTGATCTTGATCTTACCCTCCTCAAAAGGGAAAGCTATTGGATTTATAGGTTCAAAACTTTGGCACCCTATGGACTAAACGAGGGCTTTACATTCACTCCCTTTATAGATAAATAAGAGTACTCCGGACCAACCTAATATGTTTAGTTATGTGTATAGTGATTGTATGTACATGTTTCTTAAAAAAGTTTTAATTTTTTTTTTTTGGCACATAAGAGGCTGTGAATTCAAATCAACTTTTGACATGGTAGTATTAGGACGCACATGTGTTACGTGGCTAATGGGGCATTTTGTGACAGGCTTATGAGGGCTTACACAGTTCCCTCTACCCAGTGTCACCGTTAGGGGCATCGTTTATATGTGCTCTATATATGGTACCTACTTCGAGTGATAACTTTAACTAAATGTGCACACTCCATCCATCATAGTTATCCATAGTAGGACTAGTCACCACTATTTTGGGATACATATGATCCAGGTTACCAGTTTGCAACACAAGCAATATATAGATATACTAGGATCTATAGTTATATCCTTACAATACAGCCTTAGAGAATAGAGGTTGATTACATTTATCTTTCTGTATCCACTTATTTATATGCTTCATAAGTTTCTTTTATTAACAAATAATAAACTCCATATTATGGGATATCAGACAGACAAGATGAAGGGCTCTTTATTCATCTATATATTAATACATTCTGCCCTTCTTTATTATTTATTACATATTTCTTCCTCTCACTTTAAATGATTGCTCCCCCGATGAGACACCACGTGGACTCGTTTGTTCACTGATAGTCCATTTAACAAATGCTTTGCCACGTAACACCAAAGGGGTGGGGTTTGCTGGGACTCAGTTCATTGAGTCACTAGCAAACATACACACACACACCCCCCTCTCTCTATCCTGTTCATACGCGTCTACAAATGCATGACGCTACCCAATTACCTGCCGCCAAGTGAACTTGAAGGCGTGGCCTGTTCGGGCTAAAAATTTTTGGCGCGAACAGTAAGCACACGCCCCCATTCTCCTACTGGCGGCACTTGGTTATTTAAACAGCCTTGTGTGCACTATGAGGTCTGCTAAGCCTCGGAAGAAGGCGCGTTCTATAGCGCCGAAACATATGTTAGGCAGTAGGCAGGGAGACCAGTGATTTTGATTATAGGCAGTTAGATTAGCGATCTCTTCCTTAATTTACATCTCTCACTATTGATAATATCAGAGAGCTAACAGCTATCTCGAGGATTTTTGGCTAGGGTTTATTTTCTTTCTCTGGCTTACTTCGTGTGGTCTCTTGGTATTATCTGAGCTTAATATCTGGGTTACTCAAGTGGGTGGGTTGGTATCTATATGTACAGACTCCCTATATGGGAAGGGGGTGCCTTATGCCCTCCACTCCGCGATTTTGCCTCAAGGGATATCTTGTATACTCTGTCATTTGGATATACTGACATCCACTCTGCATTGATACAATGTTCATAGGTATCATTTTGTTGCCATACCCCAGCACTACATGTAGTCAGTGCTATTCAAGCAACCATTGAACCAGCTGTCTATATCACAGTTAGCAACATTAAGGGAGAGATCAGCCAAGGAAGGGCTTTTCTGTCCATTTTTTAGATCCACGTATGTGGCCTCAGTATTAGGGATTTTGCCTTTATTCCTCTACCTGCATTGAATCTATCTCTCTGGTCTCCCCAATCTTTTCAGACCTTTCTTGTCTTTTAATTATGTGTATGTTTTTTATAATTACTATTAAAAGTTACGTTTTATAAACATATAACTCTATTTAGGGGCTTTCTCACTTTTGACCCAGAGGGTCTCTCTTCTCTGTTTTCTCTACACAAGTATATGTGAGGGTTATCCCCTTTTCTTGGTTAGCCCCAGACACACACCTTTGCAAGGCACCCCTTTTCTAAGGGGCCCCTTGCTTCTTTGTTTTTCAAGGTATCTTTATAGTTGAGTCGGAGCTCCAGGAGATGCGACTGCTCCGGTGCGCTGCTAGCTCCGTCCTTACAGTGTCTCTTTTAAATTACATAGTCTGCAAAAGTGTTTAAAATAAAAGCTTAAAAATGAATTTATAGTTTGTGATTGCAAAGTATTTAATAACATGTACATGGACCTTATTTCTGCTTATATAGTATGCTGGAAGATTATATTGGTAATTTCTCACTTATTGCTCACTGGGTAGGGTGCTGTACAAGTGGATTAGATTTGAATTTTTATTATCTTTATACTGGTTTGTCTAGTCATTTATATAATGACTGAAAAGTGAAGCAGTCCCAAGAATGTTAATGTTAAATGGAGTAATGCAACATCAGTGGCAGAACTAATGTAGAGAAGGCTATGGTGCAAGAATTTCTTTTGGGCCCCATCTGTCCCCCAACTCACACAATGCTTTGCCAGCTGGGGATCTACAATTTGCCCAGCAATGTAGGGTTGTATTTTGTACTGAACGGTGTTTGTGTGTTTGAAAGTAAGCATGCTTTTGTATTGTGTGTTGAATGTGGGGGGTGTAGTGTTATGTGCTTGAATGTAGGCATGCATTTGTGTGTAGATTTGTTTTTTGTATGTATAATGTTGGTGTTTTAATAGAGAAGTGTGCTTGTGTGTAGTGTTGGCATTTGAATGTTGAGATGTATGTGCATATACACACACACACACACTGACACACGTGCAGATATACAAACATGCTGGTCAAGCGTTACACATTTAAACACCCTTCAGTTTTCTACCTTTTGAGTTCTTGTAGGGTTCCAACCTGCTGGCTGAGGCTGTTAGTAGTCAGACACTATCTCTTGAATACTCCCTCCCCCTTTATGCATTCACCTACCTTGTGGCTCCATGTCTGTTAGCTGGGAGGAAGCAGCTGGCTCTCACTCCCTCTCAGCACCAGCTTCCATTATTAAAGGGGCACAGCGCAATGTTAAAGCACAACCATGTCAGTGAGGAAACATGCCAATAGGGTGGCCCTAAGTGCATGTGCCATCCATTGGGCCACCTCACCATGTGGGCGGAAATGTGAAAACATTATATACCTTCATTTCTGTGTTCAGGCATGCTTTCAGTGGAATCACTGCTACATCATATTGAACATGAATATTGGTTTAAATCAAATGGTAATGAGGAGATTTTATTTATATATAAAATTATTTGATAAGCATCTGGTCGGGCATGTAAAAGTTACTGAACCCACATATTTCTCATCTGAAATAAATATTTTAACAGCCTATATAAAGTTTTTCAGGACATATTATATTGGGTGGTTTCTGGAAGAGATATGAAGAGGTGTATTTTCCTGTGGATTTACTGTGTTAATCACTTGCTGGTTTCCAGACATGCCATCGACTCCACAGAAAGCTCTCTAAAATTTCCAACCGACTAAAGAGAAAACAACTTTGTAGAAAGCTGAAGGTGGTATGTTCAGCAGTGTGGAATGCATGGCATGCCTTAACTCTTTCACTGCCAGAGAGCCCTGTAACATTTTGCTTTGCTTGTTAAATACAATCAATCGCAGACCCCTTTGGCAGTGAATGGTTTTTAACTTACTGATCTCTCAGACCAGATGTGGATTTTAACCAGTTTTTTAATGTGGTAATATATTGGGCAGCCACTGAGCATAGTCAGAGATATAATTTGACAAACAGATTACCTGATAATTGTCATTTGTATTTCCTTGTTTCTAGCTCCTGCCAATCCCAGATTCTGTGCCAATTTCTCCAGATGACGGGGAACATGCAGACATTTACAAACTACGTATACGGGTTCGTGGGAATTTAGAATGGGCCCCTCCGCGACCACAAATCATATTTAACATCCATGCAGCTCCCACGTAAGTCCACAAGGCATACATTTTGTCTCCAAAAAAATTTGTTTTCTCTAATTACTTATACTTTCTGTAATGTTTTCCTACAGGAAGAAGGTTGCTGTGACCAAGCAGAATTATCGATGTGCTGGCTGTGGCATTCGAATAGAGCCCGGTGAGCTATGTTCCAAATAGCTTTCCCCCCAACCCTTCTCTGGGGTGTAGCTTTCACAATCCTTTATTAAACCGATAAGGTGTGACTAGAATTTTCCAGTAAATCAACCGGACAACATCCTCAGTCTGCTTCTGTTTTTACGATTTATAAATGGATAACTAGCACAAGTACATACCACGGTCCAGAAATGACAATGTCTGTGTTTTTCAGGACAGAAAAGACTGCATGTTGTCTGAAAATGCAGTGAGTGAGATTCAGATGTGGTGCTGATAGTAAACAGGATAGTGTTTGATTAATAACCATGGAAATCGATAGAAACATAATGTTGGTTTCCATGGTGATTGCATCCCTTTGGCGAAACTGTGTATGCTTCGCCACTATCGCTAATAAAATACTCTAATTTCAGAATCCTCTGTCTGCCTGCAGACAGCATGTTTGCAATATTGTGTAGTAATGTGATTGCCACAGACTTAGTTGGCCTTAATAAATGCACTAATTTTAAAGTTAAGGAAATGTAGCATTAGGTAAAATAGAAAGCTGTGTACATCATCTTTCTTGTGTTTTTTTTTTTTAAATTTATTTTTTTTGTCTGTTTTTCTGAATTATGTGTGTCCCCTTTAGATTACATTAAAAGGCTCCGTTACTGCGAATACTTGGGAAAGTATTTTTGCCAATGTTGTCATGAAAATGCTCAGTCTGTCATTCCTGGCCGCATCCTGCGTAAATGGGATTTCAGCAAATATTATGTTAGTAACTTTTCCAAAGACCTTTTAACAAAGATCTGGAATGACCCACTCTTCAACCTGCAGGATGTCAACAGTGCCTTGTACAGAAAAGTGAGGGCCCTTGAGCAAGTACGAGTAAGTATCATCGTTTTAAAATATACTGTGTGCTTAGACAAGGTGAAGTTGTGTTTATTTGCTTAGCGACATGACTATTGCTTTACTTCACAGCTGCTGAGGATCCAGCTGGTGCATTTGAAGAACATGTTCAAAACATGCAGACTGGCCAAAAGGTGAGCAAATCTATCAAGCCCGTAGCTTGGGTTTGAGATTCATTAAAATAAAAACGTGTGATATCTTAATGTCTTTTTATAATGGCAATGTTTAAGGGAGGTTAAATTAGTACCTATTCAGGCTTCGCCTGAATGAAGGGATGGGAGAATTCGTTCTCAACATTTATAGTGCCCATTAGGTTGGGGTACCCATAAACTCTTGTGGATTAACTCATCTTTAACTCTGCATCCTTAAGAGTTCAGGGGTAGAGTAAACACCAAGGTTTTTACTCCATACATCTTTTGCTAAATATATTTAAAGGGGATGCAAACCAGCTTTGTATCTTGTGGTAGCAACTTTCATTTTTAATCATAATTTGTGTTCGTTTAACTATGCACTGCTTTTAATTTTTATATTTTTTTCTAAATATAACTAATATTTTCTGTTTCATTTTGTTGTGTCAATTAAAATGGTTTCTCTGTGTTTGAAGCGTTCTGGAATCATATGACACTGTATCTGGACACCTAACTGAGGATCTCCACCTGTTCTCCTTGAATGATCTCACGGCCATTAAGAAAGGAGAGTTGGTTCAGCAGTTAGGGGAATTAGTGAGGCTTGGCACTGTACATGTGGATAAATGCATGGTAAGTAATCTATACCATATTTATACTGTAGCTTTTGTCCTATAAAAGTAGTCTTTTTATTAAAGCTAGGCATTTTGTTGTTTTGCACAATTTCAGTATCTGTCAAGAAACATATGATGGGGATACATCTAGACTATGTAACTAAGCTCTAATCATGCACTACATACAACATTTGCCTGGCAGTATGTAAAAATTAAGTTTGCGTTTTACTTTTTCTTCTGTATTTTGTATTGAGTGTCCACTTATTTGCCAGATTCTTGATATCCGAGTTGCTATTTTCTCAACATATTTTCTAAAATAATTTTCTCCCCTGTTCTGTAGTTGTGTCAAGCCAAGGGCTTCATTTGTGAATTCTGTCAGAATGAAAATGATGTGATCTTCCCATTTGAGCTGAATAAATGCAGGAGATGCGAAGGTAAGCTTGACTGAGAACACATCTGGTCTCTTCTCAACAAACATATTTATGTTTTTAGCTTCCATGAGATCATATTGCCTCATTGCATAATGCTTTTGTGCATATTTAGATGTTTGACAGGCCTTTTGCTCCTGGCACATGCCACAAAAAGCATTACACAGCTAATATTATATTATTATTATTATTATTGGGGTGTGTGTATGTATGTATATGTATGTATGTATGTATAACAAAATGTAACAGGAACAATAGGTAGTTGAGGACCCTGCTCAAACGAGCTTATAGTCTAGAGGAAGTAGGGTATAAAAACACAATAGGAAGGGTATTGAGAGAGACCGCAAATAGACATGGTGGAAATGTAGCAGAACTGGAAGTGAGTGGAGAGTGGCCCTTTAGGAGAGAGCAAGAGGAAGGATTGAGAGATAGAAGTTACTCTTGGAGGCCATAAGCAATCCTAAAAAGATGGGTTTTGAGGGACTTACCGAATGAAATGAACCAAAAGACCTATACGCCCCGCCAATGCCAACAGCCACCGGGCGGTACATGAAGGGCGAAGCAAAGGAAAAGAACAGTCTAAACAAACGGTGGCGTCGACCGCAACATAAAAAAGAGGGGCGCGCAACCAAGACAAGAATATTACCCTCGGGTCCGACTAGAGCCGATAGACAACTATCCGAACATCCGAACCCATCTGAAAGAAGAAAAAAGGGTATGATAAGGGGAACAAATCCAAAGTCGGAGATGGACGAAAACCGGCGATTGAGGCATGACAAACAATGCGTGTACCCCTTGGGAAAATGAATACCCGTCCTCGGGAATCGAGAGGACTCACACCGCTATGAACCCACACGTCTAGCTCGAAGGGGGATACCAACAGAGCGAGGCCCGACGAAAACAGTCGTCGTAACAGTGTTTGCAAAATTTCTGTTAATCCGTACCAGACCCAACTCAGTCAGGGTCACCTTGCAGGCAAACATCTTATTGTACCCTATATCAAGTGGGACAGGTCCAGGGAATCCGGGCACTAGTCTCGACTCGGCCGAAGCGGAGGTCATAAAACCAAGGTACCAGCAGACCGAGACACTTGTAGTAAGGTCCTGGAAACAACAACGGAGGGGCCTCCTCAGTGTCAAACACCCCTGGAGGGAAACGTCCATCACTGAGCAAACCAGTCTGTATGCCGGCTAAAACTGTACAGGGCTTAATGGGTGCTCCGCCGTTGGCTTATGGTCGTGATGACGGATCTTCCCGGAAAACTATTCCAATCGTATGAGAAACTCTGATAGGGTGAAAACGTAGGAGGTACCTCCTTGCGTCCGATCCGCCCTCCAGGACTCTACACCTCGAGCCACAGAGGGGGTCAATATTCCTCGTTTGAGCACGAACTCCAGGGACCCAAACAAGGAAAATGCAGATAGCGTCTTTCCTTTCGGTGTGAGGGGCAACTCGCCGAGGATCCAGCCAGCCAGTCCGGGTAGACCGTCCTCGTGGAAAAAACGAGAAGGATCTCTTTGGATACTTCTGCAATGCCCAAATGTCCTAAATTCATCCAAACCTGCCACCCAGGCTGTATTATCTTCCAAATGAATGACACCCCAGGTCCTTATCTCGCTAGGGAGAAACTTTAGCCAGCCTTACCAGGAATGGGCCCCGCGGTCCTGGAAGTTCCCGGAGGTCCGCGTCTAATTCAAAGTAACTAATGGCTATACCTTCAAGCGTAGTCTCGTGCGGGCTCCAAAGGCCTCAGATCCCTTGATCCCAAGCACCTCCAGCGGTCCGAATTGACTAACGCAGGCATTAATGATAAGGGTCTCCTGCAATCCTCAGGTTCGGGGTACCGTCTGTTATGTCATCCGGAACTGTGACATTCCGGGCCCAGGGTCCAATCCTTTATAACAGGTATGGGTTGGAGCTTTAGATATGTCTCCGTAACGTTTTTTCCATATGAAAACTGGGATCCAATATTCTTCCCCGTATGTCCCAAAGGACAACCCACTTGTGTGGGGGAGAACCCTTGGCTTGTCAGTGCGGACTGAGAAGTAGAGTATAGGCACTGCAGCGGGCCGTATTCCGGATCTCCTGTATACTAGACAGGCGTTGCCACCAGGAGAGCCGTAGTGCCTCATCGGGGTCTAAGTCTGGGTACGAGGCTACTTTGTTTGGGAGCCTGGCTGGGTATACCACTCCAAGTATCTTGCGGGCTTCTCAAGTCAGCGATCTACGGTCCCAGCAACGCACCGATGGTGCTAGATGCCCGGGCCGAGACCCTTCCGAAGAAATGAGCAATTGGTCGAGGGTCGCACAGGGGTTCGTTTAAGGCGACCCACGAGACGACCTCTTCTTCCACAGTCGTCGGAGCCCCTGTAGTGGGCTTGTTCTCCGTCCCGCACTGCCACTTGGGGGCATCATCATGCCGAGATGGGACCGGTCCGCCCGCCATTCAGCTAGGACGGCCGTGGTGGGAGTGGGGTCACGAGGACTTTCACCCCTGCGCCACCTAGGCAGTGTAGTCTGGCTGCCGAGGCTGATCGTATTGGGGTTAGATGCTTCTCCGGAGTCTAATCTGTCAGGGCGCCTGGTTTAGGGGCTTCACCCCTCCAGTAGCGCTTGTGCGCACTTGCCTGTTCTCGTCTAGAAGAGTCTGACTCATTCAAGTCGTCTGTCTTTATTAAAAAGGTGGTCACTGTCGTGTCCGAAGGACACCGCCTCCCTCGCGCCATATAGGCAATGCCGTCCAGCCCGATTGCATCGGGGATAGACGCTTCTCCGAAGTCTATCTTCCGGGTGTCTGGTTTAGGGCCTTCACCCTTCCAGTAGTGCTTATGCGCGCTTGCCTGCCCTCCTTAGGGGGGTCTGACTCCTTCAAGTCTCCCGCCTTCTTTAGAAGGTGGTAGCTGCCGTAGTAGGCATCGCCTGTGTGCATTCCCCCGAATGAAGGGTTGACCATGGAGCGGTCCTAGGCAAGGCGATCTCTAGGGGTATAACGGACAAGTGTCACCGGCAGCAGCATCAGGGCAGCACCCCATCTAGTGACAGAGGCAAATTTGGCAGCGCATACAATGTCCAAGTGTGAGTATGTAGTCGCAAGGCTTGGCATGCAGATATACACAGACAACGCAGGCCAAATCAATGGGGCACAGACAAAGCAGGCCAATCAATACGGCTCAGACAAAGCGGCCAAATCCTGGGGCACAGACAAGTCACTGCACGGAACGCTCTTCCGTGTCACTGCACGGAACGCTCTTCCGTGTCACTGCACGGAACGCTCTTCCGTGTCACTGCACGGAACGCTCTTCCGTGTCACTGCACGGAACGCTCTTCCGTGTCACTGCACGGAACGCTCTTCCGTGTCACTGCACGGAACGCTCTTCCGTGTCACTGCACGGAACGCTCTTCCGTGTCAGTGCCGCAACGCTCTTCCGTGTCAGTGCGAGAACGCTCTTCCGGGCGTCACTGCACGCTCGCCTCGTCATGCGTAACGGCTCGCTTCCGTATCAGCGAATGGAACTTCGTCCCGTGCGCATCGGCTTCCCGTGTCAGTGCACGGAACGCAGTCAGTGTCATCGCGTCAGTCAGTGCACGGAACGCTCTTCCGTGTCACTGCACGGAACGCTCTTCCGTGTCACTGCACGGAACGCTCTTCCGTGTCACTGCACGGAACGCTCTTCCGTGTCACTGCACGGAACGCTCTTCCGTGTCACTGCACGGAACGCTCTTCCGTGTCACTGCACGGAACGCTCTTCTACGCATTCTACTGTGTAGATAACACTCTTCAGATGAATAGTGCCTAACACTCTCTGTGAACTGTAACCAACTCTTCTGTAACCAAATGAAACGACTTTCCATAGGAAAACAGAGAAAGTGAGGTTGAAGAGATGAAGTGCCTTACTCTAAAGGGCTCAAACCTAACACTCCAGAAATGTGTTTATATTAGTGGCATTAGAATTTCCAAAAGGCAAACTCTTACAACCTGCCTCCCCACCGGCGCCCGGACCGAGGGCCCTGCGGTGTGGGGAGGCCAAACGAGGTCAGAAGCCGTCGCTCCCACGTAGTCTATCATCCCTCCCATGCCACCGCGGCCACAAAAGATAACCGCTTCCCAGCGGTACGGCGAGCGTGGGAGGGAGACAGGCAGAGGGGCAGTTCCTGCACGCCGTGAGAGCGGCGCGCGAGATACCCACGTGGGACCGCTGGAGTTGTTCTCCGCCAGCCGCTAGGAAAACAGACAACAGGAAGAAAACAGAAGGAAGCCAGAAAGAACCGAAAGTAAACTGCCCGCAAGGAGAGCAGGTAAAAATAGAGGGAGAAAGGTGGAGGAAGGCACCCATACAGACCCCACAGAAAAAGGGGGGAGGTAGAAAGAGCAGGCAAGAAGAAAACACCCGCAAAAGGCACAATAGATGACTTCAACTCATAAAATAAATCCCAAAATCAACACACACTATCAAATCATCAAAATCAAATCATGGAATTTAAATCATACAATTAAATCATTAACCTCAAATCCTAAAAGCAAGTCCTACAATAAATCCTGAAATCAAATCATGAAAACTAAATCATACAATCAAAGCATGAAAATTAAATTATACAATACAATCAAATCTTAACCCCTTCAGGACTGCTGACGGTTCAGGACAGTCAGCGGTAAAACGTGCGTTTGGACCGTCATAGCGAAAAACAGTCTGCGGGAAGCGATCAAAGATCGCCCCCGCCAGTATAATGCTGTAACTATCTGCCAGACATCCGCGATCACTCCTAATTGGCTGCTGTCAAAGTGGGTGTTAAAAATGAGTTACAAACACTCACTTTGACAGTGATCTCTGCCCCTCTCTCCTCTGTTGCGTTTTGTGAGGCGAGAGAGACAGAGATTGTGATAGTTTGTTGCAGCAGAAGTGTTCCAGAGCTTTATATAGTATCTAAAGTGAATTAAAAAATCATTTTTAACCCCTTCCGTGCCAGATCTGTTACATCAGTGCATTTGTACTGTCTGTATTTTATTTTATTTTTGCCCTTAAAGGGTTACATTTGTTTTAAAAATCTGTGTCTTGGTCTGTCTTAGTCAGTCAGTTTCCTTCCCCCAAATTTCCATTAGATTTTTGTGACAGGAGTTAGTTTAGGGATTGCTGTTTAGTCTGTTTTAGTAAAAAAAAAAAAAAAAGTATAAAAAAATGTGTGTGTTTGTAATTTGTTTTAGTCATGTGTAAAACATGTAGCATATGTATAACTTGCAGGAGGCATATGCCTTCTTGGCGTCAGACTCTGACGCCACTGACACTGTGTCAGATTTTGACCCAGGTCAGTTTTCTGACACGTCTAGTCAAGACGACATGTCATCTGTGTGTGAGCCGGCTGAAGAAAGAAGCTGTGCTTCCTTTGTTACGCCGAATGTGGAGGAGGACTGGGTACCTCCACAGTTAGCTGAGCCCAACGTCCCCCCTTTTAGTGCCAACGCAGGCATTAATGTTAATGTGGATGGCTTCTCCCCAATGCAGTATGTAGAACTATTTTTAGGGGATACCTTCTGCTTCCCAGACTAACTTGTATGCTACCCAATTTATTGATAACAATCCAGGTAGCTATACAGTCAGGGAGCATGACTGGCATCCCACAGATGTCCCAGAGCTTAATAAATTCTGGTCTCTTACAATGCTCAAGGAGATTATAAAGAAGCCATCGATTCGCTCATACTGGAGCATCAACCTAATAATGTCTAGTCCAGTATTCTCCCAAACCATGCCTAGAGACAGATACGAGTTACTGCTGAGATTTTTACATTTCAGTGACAATACCCTCTGTCACCCTAGAGATCACCCCCAGTACGATAGGCTTCATAAAACACGCCCACTGTTAGGCCATTTTCAGGACAAATTTTCAGATGTTTATACCCCCAACAAAATTTATCCATAGATGAATCTCTAATGAAATACAAAGGGAGATTAGGGTTCAGACAATACATCCCCTCAAAGCGCTCTAGGTATGGCATAAAACTGTACAAACTGTGCGAGAGCGAAAGTGGATACACGTTTGCCTTTTGTGTATATGAGGGGAAATATGGTCAACTGGACCCTCCTGGCTGTCCTGACTCCCTGGGGACAAGTGGGAAACTTGTATGGGACCTACTAAACCCCTTGTTTAATAAAGGTTACCACCTTTATGTGGATAATTTTTATAGTAGTGTCCGTCTGTTTGCCCAAAGTTTGCCACAAGAAGTGTTCCTGAATTTTTATTTTTTTGTTTTTTTGGAAAGCAGCCATTTTTTGTTAGTCAGCTTCCTTCCCCCAAAACTCCAGTTAGATTCTATTTGCAGGAGTCAGTTTAAAGATTGCTGCTAAATGTACATTTGCTACCTGCACATTTGGTCTAACAAGTTTTCTGGCAGTAACACATAACCAGCTGGCCAAAACCAGATGATGTGTGCATAAAAACCAGAATTAAAAAATTACCACTACACTTTCTTTGGGGGGCAAAATGGTTGGGGGAAAAGTCAAAACACCCCATCTTCTATAACCTTTGTCTACTTTATAAAAATATATACTATATATACTGTCATGATGGTAACATTAACTGGAGGGTGCAAAAATATGTCAAACTGAAGATAGACCAAGCATACCTATATATCAAGTTGAAAAACTGCCACGTACAAGTTCTGATTGTTGCCTTTTGGCCCCCTAACACCCCAGCAACCCTATACATAGGGGGTATCACTGTACTTGGTAGATGTTGCTGAACATATTGGGCAGTGACACATAACAGGATCTGTTAATTCATGCCTAAAGTACAATGTGTGTGACAAAGAAACAAAAAAAGATTACTACCCAAAAGTTGGCTGGTGGTAGAATTAAGTGCATGAAAAGTGTTAAAATACCACCATTTAAAATACCCTGGGTTGTCTACTTTTCAAAAATATATGGTTTGATGGGGGTAAAAGACATTGGCTCAAATGGGACATGGGCGCAGGTTGATTACATGTCAAAATTCCAAGTTGGGAAACTGATCCGCGCACCTGCCAAACATGGCCTTTTAGCCCCCAAAGAACCTGACACACCTATACATGGGGGGTATCCCTGTACTCGAGAGATGTTGCTGAACACATATTGGGGTGTTGTTTGGCAGTGACACATAACAGGATCTGTTAATTCATGCCTAAAGTACAATGTGTGTGAAAAAAACAGAAAAAATTTACTACCTCAATGTATGACAAAGCTTGGTGGTAGAATTAGTGCATGCAATGTGTTAAAATACCACCATGTGAAATACCCTAGGGTGTCTACTTTTCAAAAATATATGGTTTGATGGGGGTAAAATACATTGGCTCAAATGGGACATGGGCGCAGGTTGATTACATCAAATACGTCAAAATTCCAAGTTGGGAAACTGATCCGCGCACCTGCCAAACGTGGCCTTTTAGCCCCCAAAGAACCCGACAAGCCTATGCATGGGTGGTATCACTGTATTCAGGAGATCTTGCTGAACACATATTGGGGTGTTGTTTGGCAGTGACATCGAACAGAATCTGTGAATGTATACCTGAATTGCAATGTATATGGAAAAAAAATAAAAAAATAAACTACCTATGCAAAGTTTGGCAAAGGTTTGTGGTAAAATGGCTGCATAGAAAGTATCAAAATATTCTTAGATGAATACCCTGGGTTATCTAGTTTAAGAAAAATATATGGGGTGTTTTGTTTTTAGATTTATGACATAACAGTGTTACAATGTCACTATTGATACATTTGAAAAATGTACATTTTGAAACGGCAATTTCCTACTTGTACTTAAAGCCCTATAACTTGCAAAAAAAATACATCGACATTAGGTGTTTTAAAACTCAGGACAACATTTTGAATCTATTTAGCAGTTTGTTTAATTTGATTTTGTAGATCAGTAAAAGATTTTTTTAAGTAAAAGTCAAAGTTTTTTTTTTTTTTTACATTTTTCACCATATTTTATTTTTTAATTAAATTATGACATGATAAAAATAATAGTATGTAAAGAAAGCCCTTTTTGTCCTGAAAAAAACAATATATAATTTGTATAGGAACAGTAAATGAGAGAGCGGAGAATTACAGCTAAACACAAACACCACAAAAGTGTTAACATAGCTCTGGTCCTTAACGCACAAACATCGCAAAAACAGTCCGGTCCTGAAGGGGTTGAAAACAAATCATAAGATCAAATACAAGTAAAAGTATATATCCAACAACCACCCATATAAAACAGGAGGCAGTGGTACTCTGACCTGTACTGTCTGCAGAGCAGTAAAGAAAGAGGGATTAGTTGGTTGGGAGGAGCCTTTTATGGATTCCTGAGTTTTTTTTTGTCTCTGGTGTTTTTCTCTCTATGTTAATGTGCTGCTGTGGAGTTCTAGTAAAGAGAGACTTAAGCAAATATGAAGCCTCCTGTCATGTTATAAAATTACAATAATCCATGCAAGAGATTACTAGGTCATGAACCAGCTCCTTGGTAGCATCTTGCTTAAGAAAGGGGCATATGCGGGCAATGTTTTTAAGCTGGAATCGACAGGTTTTAGCAACAGACTGGACATGAGGGGCAAAGGTGAGGCCAGGATCAAAAATTTCACCAAGACAGCGAGCTTGAAAGGATGGGGTGAGGCAAGTATTGTCAATGTGCAGGGAGCACTAGGCTGTCTGCTAATGTATTGGCCTTTTCAACGTAATGTACTGATTTCTTCTGTAGATGCAGAAGTAAACTGTTGGTTGATATTCACTTGAATGTCAGCGCATTTTTTAATTTACTCCCAATCTTTTGTCTCCAAATGTACAGAATGCAAAGCTTGCTATCACAAACACTGCTTCCGATCAGTCCAGTGTCCTAAATGTGAACGCCTGCGAGCAAGGAGAGATCTGCTAGCCACACAGAGACTACAGACCTACAATTCTGACCAGGAGGATCTGGAGGAAGATACACTGAATGAAAAGGAGACACACTGACCGTATCAATATGGCCATGTTGATGTAGCAGGGCTAAATCATAAGTCAATTGCAGCAGCCACATTTTGAGCTTTACTCATGCTTCAGTAGCTTGTAACCTTGCACTGCTTTCCAACAAATAGAGGAGGGCTGTATGAACCCACTGATTGCCAAAACATGTGCATAATATATTGCTGTGCTCATCCATCTGACAGAGTTAAAGGTCCACTCCCAGTTCGTGCACAACTTTTCCTCATTTGTGTTGTATGTGTATTTTTGTCCAAATTCTAAAACCTTTAATAATTCCACTTTGCACAGATTTTTTTTCTCTTCTCAGCCTCTACCGAGCCGCATGTATATCCAAAGCAAACCATATGGCTCAGCAATGCACTAACCAGCAGGCTACAAAACACTGTCCATTAAGAAAAAACCCTTAATTCAAGATTTCACCTTCCGTCCTCTGAAACTGCAAATTTTGAGCTATTTTCCATGTTGCACTAAAGTAAAATGCAAAGCAAATAGGGCAGCTGGTGCTTGATCGGAAGTATCCTCTTTCCAAAAGATGGAATTGCGTTACCACAGGGTAACTTGTTCTATCTAATACAAAACATTTTCATGTGACTCTTCTGCTGTTGCAATGTTGTTGTGTACCATGCTGTGTTGAAAGCTGGGCAAAAGAGGCAGCTTAATTTTTCACTCTCTGTAAATGACTTAAAAGAACTTCCCACATAGTGGTCCACACTTTAAACTGTAAGCAGGAAGGTGGTGGGGGGGAGTTTTAAGAACTGTGTCCCCATTGTCATTGCACTAATATGGGACTTTGGCTCTGTCAGGAATTCCAGACATGGATGAGATGTATTTTATTGCAAACTTAAGTGTAACAAAGTGTTTAGGTGCTAACATTAGACATGCCATTGCAAACATCCTATAGTGCTGACTTGCCTGCTTCATGGACTACAGGATATCGATGATGGAAAATATATGCAAATTTGGGACACAGCCTTGCCTCTTTGGCCGCAAAGACTTAACTTGATCAGACTGACAGGAGCAGGGGTGTTGTGGCTCTCATGACCTTCTGTAGTATTGCACTAATGTACTAAATGATTGTATAATTAACAATAGTATTGAATGTCCAATATATGAAGCCACATTTTCTCTGGTGCACAAGTGTCTGCATAGTATACATTTCTTGCAGATGACCTTGCTATAGAGTGTTTTGGTCTCTTTACTATCTATCTTATCTAATTGCACTTTGATAATCTGTGTTTAAAGTGGTATATTTATCTGGAGCCTTGCATTGTGCGTGTAAATATAAATGTCCAGTAAGTATGTAAAGCAAAAAATGGAGTGGTCTCTTGATTTCCATTTTTTCTACTGTATTCTGACTAACTATTTGTTGGTATGAAGGTGCAGAGCTCGGCAAAAGCTTTCCGACAGGGAGAGCAGCACTTTATTAATGAAACAGTCTTTTAAGGTTTTGCCAAATAGATATCAATGTATATCAGTCAATATTCCATCCTCTACTGTTTGTCATTTTACACTCCATTACTGATTTAAAAACAAAAATATATATATATATTTTTTATTTGTTCATAGTACATTTATTGTTATTTTTTTTTTTTTTGTTTTTAATTCGATTTTGGGAGTTGCACTTTCACATTCCTAGTTTGATTTCCAGCATCTGTATTAAAGGACATCATTTATTTACACAAAGTTTGGTGATACCACTGAGCCTTGCTTTTTGTTTTGTCAATTTATCATAGGCAGCTACTTCAAACAATGAGAAGTATCAATTGTGAGCGTTGAATGCTGGCATTGTTGCTCACACCTATGGCACTCTAACAAGGTTATTCACTAAAGTGTGTATTGTTGGGAATTTCACAAATTTGGCTAAAACAATTAACTTTGAGAAATTCCCCTGGTCAGGTAGTTTCTTTTTAGCTATTCTGGTCTAAATCCTAAAGTTTAAATTTGATTTTCTAACGATTCACATTTTAAAAAAAATAAAAAATTCTGAATGTTCAAAACATTTCCTAGAAAGACAGCCAAGAGTTTTTGCAATTAATCAAATTCCTTGTATTACACACATCTGCAGACTCCAGCCAGTTATCGTGTTAGTATGTTAAAACATGTAAATGTATTGTGAAAATGATTTGTAAATACTAATTGTTCACGTACTAAAATGTACTACATGATGTCAAGGCTTCTGTTGTACAAAGAATTGTAAATCTAATTCCGTCCAAAATAAAAGTATTAAGTTAAAACTGCGTCTGTTACATTTGATTACAGTCACAGAGGTGAACTTCAGGCAGAAGTTGATGACACTTGACTCGCCAGTTTTTTTTTTTTATTTATTTGAAGATTTTATGCAGTTAAAAGGACATTTCTTAGTGGTTTTTCCTACTAATCATGCCTTCCTCCACAGTCCCTCCAGCTTAAAATAAATAAAACTACATAAAGAAAATTCACAGGTGATGTGGAAGGTTGGAACTTCTAATAGAACACCCATTTTGTCAACAAACCATCTGTTCTTAAAAGTATACATTAAAAAAAAAAAAAAAAGTCAATATGTAGACAGATCAATTAACCATTTTACTTGAGGGTTTTGAAGTTTGATTCTTCTAGCAAAAAAAAAAAAAAAAAAAGTTTCAACCTAGTGGTGGTGGTTGCTACCACTTTTAAGAAAGAAAAAAATGTCCTGGCATTTGTTAGGTCATATCTGTTTTAACAAGACTTGGCGGACCAGGGATGTAGGTCAGTATTATAATATGAGAAGGGGCATGGATTTACTTTCAGTGCAATACCTACCATTAGTGTGTCTGTCCAAAAAATAAAAACAGTTTAATTGAAGACTTGCCAAATGAGTTGAAAAAAAACAGTCCTCTTACAAAATAATTCTAAAAACAATTCAACGAAAGGATTCTTTTCCAGGGCAGCTGTTTGGTTTAAGATTTCCAAGCTGGTCGTCCACTCCTTGCTTATTGAAGTCAGCCCTCTGTAATCCCAACATTGTTAGCCTTAAGACTGTTTTCTTCCACTTATGAGGCACAATTGCTATACTTCTACTTGTTGCCCAAAGTGGCATATCTCGATTGTTAGCTGTTTTAGTAGCCAGTGCTTAAATTGTTAATGATCACTAGTCAAATGATTTGCAACTTCAATTTGTGACTTTTTTCCTCACTTGTTCCCTTTATTTTAAGCCTCAATGAAAATAGACTACAGTATAGTAACTTTTTCTTCTATTTTAGTCTTAATTCAATTTCCTTTCATGAAATGGAGGGAAAACAGTAATTTTTCTCTCTTATGCATTCCTATTTAAAGGGTTTCTATAGTGTTAGGAATACAAATATGTATTTCTAAATCTAGATAGAGCCCTTCTGGCATATAAACGTGAGAAAAAAAAAAAAACCTTTAGTCACTTAGCTGATTCCGGCGCTGATGTCTCGTTCTGCCTCCTCTTATGTCATCCAACTAAGTGGGACCGGGACACTGCACCCACTTTAGCAAGATTATTTTTGGGGACTAATATCCGTTTAAAACTAAAACAGTCATGATCTCTGCTTGCTAGAGTGTCTCCATGGTTGAGATAATCAATCTTGATGATCTTAGACAATCCCATGCTTTTCTGGAGGCTATTATATATGAATCAATGCATCTCTATAGAAAGTGTTCGGAATTTCAAAGCAGAGTGGGGAAACACGGAACGTAGGTGCTACAAACAGTGCAGCACGGAGATAGGAAGCACCTCAAGTGGCAACCTGTAGAATGGTCACTAGAGGTGTTCATAGGCGGTAATGTAAACACTGCCTTTCCTCTGAAAAAGCAGTGTTAACATTGAAAAGCCTACAATGACTGACTATACTCACCAGAACATCTACATTAAGCTCTAGCGGTTCTGGTGACTATAGTGTCCCTTTGAGGCCTAAGTTAGCCATGCTTCCAGTTTGACTAAAGTTTTGATGGAACACTCCAGGCACCATAGCCTCATCTCAATTAAGTTAGGATGCCAGGAGGACCTGCACCATCTTATTTTAATTAAACTTTACAAATGGTTTAACCTCAAGTTGTAAAGACTGTGTCCTTTTGCTCAGTGCTCCTCATGCACACGGATTTAGGGATTACCTGGGTATGTTGAAGGTGTATAGAAAAAAAAAAAATCTAAAAAACATCTTAGTCTAAAAAAACATCTTAGACACACTCGGGTAATCCCTAAATCCTGGACTTTTAGGTGTGCCTTGAGCACTGCTTTTGCTCATCCTAGACTTAGAGTACTAGGCACTACCGATAGTGTCAGCGAAGGCTCTCAGCGATGCCAAGGTCAGAGGCTTACTCATTGACACCTCAGACCAGCGCCCGGAGGACAAGCAAATGGGTGCTGTCGTCATAACTCTGTTTATACCATTTGTAAATGGTTTAACGATTTAAGGTAAGATTATGCCCAAGACTTCGAGGCAGCACAACACAGGCTTCTCCTCCGGGCACTGGTCATAGAGATGAAACTGTTTTGCTTCCCAGAGTGTTCCTTTAAGCCTGAAATTCACTTTGAATTCTCATTTTAGTGAATACCTTGTCTGATCTAGATCAAAATCCTAAGTCTTTGTATGTATAGTGTCTTTATGCCTCTTTAGTAAGCATTATGGAATAGAAGTAGTGTTCGAGCTTACTAGCTTAGTGTAGAAAGTCACCATGGCAACCAAATCAGGGCTGAAATTTCACATGCAGATAGTTAGTGGGCAAGTGAAGACGTTGAGCCCTGCAGTGTGATAAAGCTGCATAATAATTTCAGAAGCAACATATTTAACATCTAATATTAATTGCATTTTAGATTCTGGAGGTACTCGTCCCAATTCCTTTTGACCAACATTTTTTCCATAATCTGTGGGCAGGCTAAGAATCACGTCAAAACCAGTGCATTGATATGTGGAGTGTGAAAGCTTGCCGTTGTTGTCCTTATGTGTGCATTCTACCCGGTGGTGAGGTTAGGAATAGTTGGTACAAAAAAAAAAAAACCAGACCAGTTTAGCAAAAATTGGGCAGTTTATCAAAAATGTTACAGTAAAGAGATACAGCTCTTTAGCAGAGTAATGCGTTTAGTTTTTCCCCTGAGCTTCAGACCCAGGAGGATTTAATTACTGAATACAGCAGACCTTTGCGTGTTATCATATCACTGAGGATTGTATGTCATAACAGGGTATTGAGCTTCGCTGTAATATCAGAAGCAGTTAGGGAGCTTAAAAGTACCACTTCATAGCAAACTTAGAATTCCATTTGCCGCTGTGTCACTTAATACAGTCCTATGAATCCAAAGTGATTTTTTTTTTTTTTTTTTAAAGACAAAAATAGGTACTATTCTGGTGCAATACCCATGGAAACCAAACTAAAGTAAAACATATGGCTAAAGTGCTAAATAAGTAATGCTATGTAAGATGTGAAGTGCTGAGTTTGTACAAAGAACTAAAACTTCCTACATTATGCTTATGGAGACATGTTCTTTAAGGTAAGGAAATTATAAGAGACCTAGAGAGACTTAACACAGAGAAAAAATGTAACAGACCAAAATCATTATGACGAACCTCCCTGAGGATATGATGATTCCTGCATTACGCTAAAAATATTCGGTGTTAACTGAACTTTTTGGGGTGATATTGACGCTCAAACTCTCCCACATCAAATTTCCTCTTACAGCCTTGATAGTTCATGTATCTGATCTTCCCAAATACAGCACGTTCTGCCCATCCTTGGTCGTGTATGCCACATATTGACCACATGCAACCTGGAAAGGAAATGGCAACAGTATGGAGAGCAAGTAAGAAACTGATCTTAATTTGCATTAACATTCAAACATCAAGATGTGTGACCACAATAGATTATGAAAGCCATTTAGTTGATCAGCAAATGCCAACATCTAAATGCTTTTCTTTTCACCATATGACATTTATTTTCGTGTACGATGTGGTTTGTTCAGCAATATATTGTCCTAGAGCGGCAGACTCATTCTTTTGATTATTAGAATACCAGGCATAAATGTTGGCACCTTCCTGCTTGCCTTAAAAGAACACTGTAGTCACCAAGCAATTTTAGCTTAATGAAGCAGTTTTAGTACATAGATCAAGCCTATGTAGTCTCACTGCTCAATTATGTGCCATTTAGATTCAAATTAATTTTGTTTCTGTTTATGCAGCCCTAGCCACATCTCCCCTGGCTGTGACGGACAGCCTGCATGAAAACAAAATGGTTTCATTTTCAATCAGATGTAACTTACTTTAAAAGTTTATCTCCTGCTCTGTATATTGGACTTTAATTACATACACAAGGCTCCTGCAGGGGCTAGCAATATATTAACAGAGCAGGAGATAAGAAGTTCTAAATTAAACAGAATTTGCAATAAAGGAAGTATAAACATTAGATGACTCTTTACAGGAAGTGTTTAGGAAGCTGTGTAAGTTACATGCAAGGAGGTGTGACTAGGGCTGTATAAACAAAGTGATTGAACTCGTTACTAGCAGAGAATTGAGCAGTGAGACTGCAGGGGCTTCATTAAGCTACATTTGTTCAGATGACTACAGTGTCCTTTTAAACAATGTGCTGGGGGAATAGACATTGTAAGTCTCCTGCTACCTAGACAGCAGGGATAGTTCGTATATCATAACTCCGGAACACTGTACCCGTTCTTCCTTCCTGCTAATGGAGCTAAGGAGAAGGGACTATTTCTATAAGCATGTAAATGAAAACATTTGTGAGTAAATAGTGTGCACATAATTTATTGTGAGAGTTGGAGAGAACATGTGCTTGAGTTTTAGTGTTTGTCTGTCTTGTTATATATCTGTAAGAGGTATTTGCTAAATGTCTGTGTGAGTGGGGTTAGGCATGTATGTGAGAAAAATAGTGGTGTTGTGTATGGCCCATTAGATAGGTGATAAGTGAAAACCACACGCTGCTGCACTTTCATGTTTTGTCAGCTTCACCATCCCATGATGCCACAGAAATGTGTATGTATGCATTCGGGTACTGCTTCAGTAGTAAAAGGATACTGTAGGCAGTTTAACTGCTTCACCTTAATGAAATGGTTCTAGTGTCTAGCATTCCCTCACAAATCCTTCCATTCAGCGTTAAATAATTGTACAGTCCCCAGCTGCCCATCCCCTCTGTGCTGCTGGGCTACATATAAGCATTAGCAGCAATGAGTGGCAGTGATTGGTTGAGTGTGTCAACTGACTGCTTTCAGCCTATCACAGCACCCATTGCTGGTATGAGTTTGTATGGCTAGAAGGAAGTGTATAATCTCTGCCTTAGCTAAACATTGAGTAGTAGCCAGGATTTGGGCAGCCAGAGATCCTTACTCAGGGTAAAAACTAGAATGCCTATGATGTCCCTTTAATGTAATTTAAATGCTGTGTGCAGCACAACATGTACACCAAGGGGAAATAAAAAAGTATGATTTTTAAAAAAAAAAAGAAATAAATAGCACAAACCACAGTTAACATTTAGTTAGCTATTCGGTTCTGCAAAATTCTCACAAAAGATAAATCCACTTTATACATGGCTATCATCATATTATATTGCTAGCCCCTGCAGGAGCCTTGTGTATGTAATTAAAGTCCAATATATACACATATATATATACACACATACACACATATACACACATATACATACACACATATATATATATATACACATACACACACACACACATACATATACATACACACACACACACACACCTATCCATGATGTTGGGAGTTGCTGTTTACAAAATAAAAAATTTCCATTTTCGTTTACACTAACCTACATATCCATTGGGATCTCGTCCATCCAGCTCATATCGGTCATTAAGGTAAATTGCAAAATTTAGAGCCTCTTCTGGGGAACTGGTCCACTCAAGGATTTTTTTGGCCCAGTACATCCGCAAGAAGCCATGCATCTTCCCTTCATGAACCATCTGCAACTGTGGCAGGAGGCAAAGCAGATACACATTGAGTTTGGTGGTACATTACTGCTGGGTAAGGGCAATTTTTGTAGCACACTTTGGTTTTTACGGTTTCATTTTTAATCTTCACTTGTGAATAGAGAAAATGTCAACAACAATACTTTAGATCAGTGGTTTCCAAACCAGTCCTCAAAACCCACCAAAAGTCCAGGTTTTGTCAGTATCTCCATTGGAACAAAACAGGAAAATACAGAAATCCTGGATTGATGGTGGGCTATGAGAACTGGTTTGGGAAGCACTGCCCTAAAGTCCCCTATTGACTTATAATGGCAGCAATTTGTAGAAATAAAATCCCTGAAGCTATAAGAAGGCCTTAATGTATCAGTGGCATCAAATGAGAAATATCAGTTATCCTCTTTCAGTCCAAGATCCGTCCAGTTTTTACTCTATACGCACACACTGAGAAACACTGAATAGGCTGAGAACAACCATGAAAATGTATCAGATAGGTGGAATCTCTTCCTGTTCTGGAATGGGGCTGCAAGCAAAAGCTTTAGAAACGTTAACGTTTTTCTGATTAGTTTATTTTTTGCATTCATTTAACAACATTTGAATAACATTTACATTCACCACTAACTGCTGGTGAGTGAAAGTTCATCCCTGGGGAGCAGCAATTGACCCTTACATATGTTTTAGAGATAACCTGTTTTTATACACAACTTCTGCAACTGAGGAAAGAAGTACCCATTTGCAGCTCATAGAAAAAGGACACAAACCATAAGCACACTACAGTGATCTGGCATCATCTCCGATTAGGTTTCAAACAGATTGAACTGTTTGACATAAATGCCCTTACCTGTCCATATGCCTAATGAGGAAGTTATATTATTGAATGGCATTCACTGACAGTGTCATATGACAAGCTCAGCCAATGAACACCTTGAAGAAATTTGTTATTTTTAAGGTGATCGTGTACTTCCACATTAGTGATGGACAGCAAGGGACAAGGCCTCAGCCACTTGGGTGACCTTCTGGTTGGGTCAAACCATTCCAAAACTATTTGACACAAAAAGAGAGGATGGCAGCATGCTACTACTACATCCAAACACTACAACATGCATCTGTGGTTATATTGCTTAGATTGTCCCTTTAAGTAAAATAAGAACATAATTTTAGAAAATACACTTTATAACATACAGTCAGTGTGACAAGATTTAATAAAAAACTAAAATCCAAATGCTGCTTTTAGGAATACTTGTAATAACCCTCTGACATTTAAACAGGCTAGAGTGAGTCCATGGATAGAAAATGGTTTCTCCTCTCTGTGAACAAAAAAAAACAAAACACAGCACAGGGAAATGTGATATAGTTTGTGTTTGCACAAAACATCGCATTGCTAAACAATGAAAAAAGAAATTAAAGTCAGGAATACAAAAGGGTTTAGAGGGAATAGAGCTACATAATGTTTTCAAACATGTGTAGAGGTCTATTACCAAACTTACGCAAATGAGACACAAAGTATATGTTTTTGAAAAGGCAGTGGAAAACCAAGGAATGAAAAGATGGTAAAAAAAAAAGGGGGGGGATGGAGGTAAAGTAATCTATTCTAGATGGAGTTAATGCATTGTTGTTTTGGGACTTGCTACTCATATGGTCAAAAGGCATGGGACAAAGGGTGAGTAAACTGAAAGATCTCGTGCACATAAAAATTTCTTGCAACCCTGCCTAGCCACAAGGATTTACTGCACCACAGTGTGTTATTATAGATTGGTATCCTCCATTATAGTTACTGATGTCACCAAAAGGCTGGAGAAAGTAAACTCTAGCCTAAAGAACTAGGTTTGTTGAAATGGCAGGAGAAGAAAATGAAATGATAGCCAGTATTGGTTAACTTGTACACATGCCAGCAGCGTGAGCGGTTTAGGTGTTCTCATTGTGTTATCTATGTGAACAGAGACAAGATGATTCTCCCTGTAATCAGATAACCTAATCTTGTATATTAGACCAGCTAAAGCACTGGCGTATAACTGACCAATACCACATTGCTAAAATGATTTATTTAGGAGAATCGGAAAGTGTTTGTAATTTCGGATTAGAAACGGTATAATAAAAACAGCTGCTAGCACCCTAGATCTAGGTGATACAAATAGTTTTCTGGGATGTAGATTCTTTACCTGTGCTGCATTCCACAAGGGATCATGAGTCTTGCCACCTTCGAGTTTCTCCAGGCTATACAAATGAGTCCTCTTGTCCTTTGCATGATCTTTTAATGTATTTTTTGCCCAATCGTAAGCACCTAGAAGCAACAGTCATTAATGATTTGTTAATAAAAAAAAAAATCACACACACACACAAACGAGATTTTTGCAAAACCAGTTTTCTAAATAATGCCGTAGCTCATACAATATTTATCAGATTACGCAATATGGGTCGGTGATGTTGCCCAAAATACATAAGTGCACTTGAAGTAAATTTTTTTTTTTTTTTTAAACCACACAGCATTATTCCCTGTTTATTAGGATGAGGGAACAAAGAACTGTCCTTCCATTAGAAGTCAATTAAAATGCATTTAAGCAAGTGTTTTTGTATGATAGAAGAAAACAATATATTTTTTCACAGGTTGTAGTGCAGGGTAGGAAGCCGTTCAGTAGTACTGTACAAAAAAAAAGATTTTGAAGTCTCTTGGCGTGCTGATCCTCTGTTTTAAAATTGACGTGTGCATGTTACCGTACTTTGCTTGTGTTATTCATGGGTGCTGCAGTTGCTTTGCAGCGTTGTACTTGTGCATATGTGAGCTAGTTTATAGTATTGTATATGATCCCTTTGAAAGTGGGCTGTGTATGGGGGTTGCTTGTGTAAAATGTCACAATGTGTGTTTGGTGTGTATGTGTGTGGGGCTGCTTAGGGTACTGTATGTGACAGGTTGCTTGTGGGGCTGTGTGCATGTATGTGGATTGTCAGTGGTGTTGTGGGGATGTGTTTGTGTGTGGGATGTTTGTATTATTTGTATGAGGGGGAGACTTATTCTGAAGCTCAGTGTATATCTAGCAGTGTGGGTGGCTTTCCTGGGATCCTGTAAGGACCGGGCCAGCCAGGTACAGGTCAAGGGCAAGAGCTGCAAAAGCTTCTGTGGACTGCTCTAATCCAGTGCGGATTCCCATTCACAAGTACTGGGATAAAGTGATCTGAGGTTACCTCCTATAAGTGCTGAAATGCGTAAATTGAGGATTGCCCCTAACCATTCAGTTTGCACTAAGGACTCTTTATGGGCCAAAGCCAGTTTATCTTTGACAGCCTTGAGTGCCGTTTAAAAGCACCTAGAGTGCCATGCATGGCACATGTGACGTAGTTTGCTGACCCCTGTTGTAGTGTATATCTCATTATCTATTGCAATTATCCTGGCTCAATATCAGTCACTAGGGACTTCATTTAAGAAGAAAAGAGGTGTGACAATTGTGCAGATGACATAAACACTACTAGCATGCAAATACATCCTGCATTTGAACAATTATAACATTACATCTTCTGAGCAACCGTTGTTATCTCAGAGAACTACAGTTTGTCTTAGGTTAGTAAATTGCTCTCCATTTCCAATGCCCAGAATATATAATGCTCTCATAGAAAACACTATCCACAGTTTGCGATTTGTTTGAATTATGCCAGCTCTCACAAGTCTCTATGAAACAGATTCATATTAATATTAAAAATATTGTCAAATAGGTGTTAGTTTTACAATATACAAAGACAGTAACTGGTGCGTTGGAACACCAATAACAAGCCTTGGGAAAGCGGTTTACCTTCTACTTTGTCATAATTTTTGTTGTAGTAGCAAAAGTTGTCAGCCAGCTCTCTCCTCACCACTGCTTCCTCCACAAAACTGTCCACAGATTCCTTGTGTTTGCTGCGATACTTCTGCACCTCTAGTATGGCTCGCTGCACAGCAACCTGCCCTGAGATTAGGCAGAGACAGCAAGAAGTTTTAAAATTCAAGGAAACAAGATCAAAAAAGGGGTCTGTTTATGGGAGATTCACCACAGTAAGCCAAAAAAAAAAAAAAAAATACTTTTGGTTTACAAATATTGTCTCAGGAGTACACACTCACCAAAGTGAAACCACGGTGACAGGTTACTGAGAGCTTTCCGGTTTGGGTTATTGCGGTCAGAATTAAAATATTTGAGCTTTTCTGATAAAAACTCCTGAAGTACAGCCATTCCTCCACTGGTCCCTGGCTTAGCCCATTCAACCTCTTTTACAGTTCGGTCCACTTCAAGACTAGCATAGCACTGATCCCAATCAATAGGCTGTGCAGTGGAGAACAGAGAACTATTATCAGTCAAACAAATCTGACAAACACAGGCACTTACAGTACATATACTAAACAATCTAGCAATAGCCTTTGGTTTTCATGATCAATTCCAACATAAATTCACTGATTATTAAATAAACAAAAAGGCATATGCCTCCATTGGCTGTGTGGCGCCTGCATGTTGGGCGTGCTTTGCACAAAAGTCACATTAGCCAGACTGGGTCTCTTGTTCCTGGCAGGATAATGACACCACAATGGTTAATTCGAAATCAAGAAGAATTTTCCCCCCTTTTGTTTGTTGCACAACTGGAAATCAGTTTTTTTTCACCTTCTTTTGGACCAACTGCAAAAACATATGTATAAAGTTAACCTTCATTATTGAGTACCAAGTTATCGTGAAGTTTTCCTTCTCAGGCTTGTTCTCTGGAGGGTTGTGTTGTGGTCATAAAAGTGTAGGCTGCTGCTTTATATTTTGACTGCTGAGGTTTGCAAGGCTTTGTGATCAAATCATTTATAGCAACATGGTATATGAATAATATATGAGTAAAACTATAAACCTGTGGTGAAAGACATGACAGATGGTTTCACAATGCTCACGGACAATTTATGATGCAATACACACACATACATATATGTATGTATTTGTATTGACATAAGATAAAGCAGAATCCGACAACATGACAGCAGAAACATCTACACAGAATACAATAGGACATCTGACATACATACTTCTGGTTGAAATTTTGAGGTGTAAGGGTGCTGTATGAGGGGAGGAAATTCTGTCAAGAACTGAGAGAGCTGATCGTGGATTTTCTTGCGAATGGTCCGAGCTCCGTACTCCAGTTTGTTGGAGGCAATCCAGCATGGGACAATGTTATGAGCATCCACCTGCAAACCAAGCATGAAGCGTCAAATATAAATTTAAAGAGACAGACAAGACAATAAAATGGCAATAAATAAGGAACATATGGGTTAGTCTTGTGTCAGCCAAACAGGCAGTGCCAATACATTGTATATATGTATTTCCCATAGTCTTGGTCCCTGTTTTTTTCCTTATTTGTTTATTACTGCCTTGTGTTATGTTTCTTGCTTGCACACACACACACACACACACACACACATATATATAATTTATAGTTTATAAAGCAGATATTTACCTGCACTAGTGGTACATTTTTGGGCAATTTCTCACAAACATCCTCCACCCACTGCATTGGGACACGCAAGGGGGCAAAGTCAGTTACTACCCCGCCAATGCCATGCTCCTTGACAAAGCTTGGAAGAACATCTTTAGCATATCCAATAAGTAGGTGAAAAGGAATGTTCAAGGCATTGCACTCCTGGAAAAAGAAACTATTGGTTAATGGGAGAAAGTAAACAGAAACTGGATCCCTTTAATGGCAGATTTAGTGTGTACCTCGGCAATCTCTTGTAGGCCCTTTACCATGAAGCCATAATGCCGAATTGTAGCATTTAAAAATTTGGGCACAAGGCAGAAAGTTACATGCAAAGGCAACTTCTGTTTGAGAGCCAAACGCTGAGCATAAAGGAAAGCCCAGTTATCTGTAAAGGATACAAGGGAAAAGCTGTGATCAGTTGCCATGTTCTACAAACAACAACAAAAAAAAAAAAACTTGCAATTTTAAAGGGTAATTCATACTACATAACACTTTTTTCTTAAACGAATAGATCTATTTTTTTATTTTTTTTAATTGAAATAGATTGGTATAGTTGAAGCATGTGGTAACACAGAAACATACAGTTAGAGAAACAGGAGAACAACACACTATTGAATGTCTGCTATTCCCAACTCCTCAAGGAACACTGACAGCACAATTTCCCAATACTGTTCCTATGAGGATACTGACAAAACCTAGATTATTGGTGTGCCTTGAGGACTGGGTTGGGAAGCAATGATTTACTTAGCAATGCAAATTAAATAAATTTAAAAAAAAACAAAAAAAAAACAACTATTTTTGATCTTAAAATCCGTTTACAACAGTAAACCTAACATCAGAAAGCAACTGGAGTTCGTACCCACAATTCATTGAGATACACACCTTGAACTCTTTGATCCCGTGACATCCAATACACAATACCCAGGGCATCATCTTTTAGATCTGCCTCACTAGATACCAGTCGAACTCTCTTCTTGTTGAATTTAAATTCTGAAACAGACAGAGCTGCATTAAGACGGGACTTCTGGATAGTCTCCAGAAGAGAACCACCACTGGCTTCTAAATCATTCTGCTTCTTCCTCTTTTTGGCATCAACATCAGAATGTTCACTACTGCTTGACTGTGATATGGCTTTTCCTAGGCTAGACTCCTTAGATAGGGGCTTGCGCTTTCCTGGGCCTTTGGGAGTGGGTGACTTTAAGTTTTTGGAATCCAGCTTTAAACCATCTTCCTGACTCCCATCGGATATCTTGCTTCCAGATGCTTTTTTGGATTTGAGTGGTTTTCCCTTTTGAGACATGGCTCTGGTGGCCACCAAAGCTCTCTTAAGACACCTCAGGATTAGTCTACTGACACCTCGGTATTAGCCTGCAGGGTAGTTGTGAGCAAAAACAGAGGTAAGAATTCACTAAATGCAAGGGGCACAGCGTAACAATGAATATCTCAAACAGTTTATTATTGACAACTCATTCGTGAATATTTCTGCAGACAAAAGGAGCAAATATTATTTAGAACTCACATGTCTCTTCCTTCTAATAGCAATAAGGTGAGATCATTATCTACCTATAGCACTGTTAATTCTAATTTAGAATGTAGTGTAGCACTTTTTCAAGTTAATATAATTCACAGAACGAAGATGTGTGCGTACATGAGCTGTTGTTGCCACTGGCCAGTAGGAAAACATGTTGAGACTGGAGGTATGGTCATGAAGTGAAAGAGTTGCCACTCGATTGGCCACTTGTGCAGAGAGTCGTGTGTGACATTTGTCCTGAGTGTTTCTCGCTGAGAAGCATTTCATTAGGAAGCAAGTGCAGAGCAAACTGGGGTCAATAAAATCAGTTATCCAAGGGTGGATAAAGCGGTTTGAGGTGTTAAATTGAAGGAAGGGAGGGCAGTATTAAATTAGAGTGGGTCAGGGGACAGGGCTGCGGGAGGCAGTGTGTTAGATTGGGGGGCATAGTAAGTAACGTGAAGTGAAACATTTGAGTAAATGATATATATTTACTCAAATATATATATATATATATACATACATACACACACACACACACTGTATATATGTACCCAGGATTACATATTGTTTGCATGAGAATGATACAAGTAATTTTTAGTTTGTGTTGGCCTAGGTCGAACCTTTTTTTTGCGGCCCACATAAACTTAAACCGTTTATTTGCCTGTGTTAGCCTTGAGTTTGACATGCTTGGACTACACAGTTCTCTTTGGCAACACCAGTTCAATAAAATACACAATACTGGAGAAAACTCTGTTGAATGTGTGCATGTTATGTTTTGAATACATAAAAATAAACTCCCAACACAGTCCATGATTTTGAGTATTTTGGACTGATTCATTGCCAGATCCCATCAATACCAACAGCTCAGAAACATTAAACAGCCTAGGGTAGGGTTAAAATAAAAGGCGAAGTTATGGTCCCTCTAAAATAGTATTCAACTCCCCTATCCATAAAAACCGTTGTATATACAATCATCGTTGCATAAATATACAAACAGGGATTTAGAGGTTCATTTAGTAAAAATGATGTGTGCTATTGTAATTTATAAATAGATTTTTTTTTTTAAATTTTAAATCACTAAATTGTGTTCAGCTACACCTAGTGAGAATAGAATTGCTATCTTGCCAAGTTTTTGTGAAAATACAGGGCTCAATTAATAAAATTCCCAGTACATTGTTTTAGCCAATGAGTTACCCCTGCACTCAGGATTTAGCTCAGGAGAGCGAACGGAAGTTTCTAGAGCAATGGCCAGCAAACCCAAGGTAAGGTATTCAACTAAAACCCGTCTACCTACAATAGGGACACCAGGGTACTACAACCACTTCAACATGCTATAGTAATTATGGTGCTTGGAATGTCCCTTTAATATTTACGTCACTTTGTGTACCAGAAACGTATTCTATTTCTCAGGTGTTCACTTTTATTTTGGCACAGAAAGTGAGGCAGAATATGCAGAGAATATTCACGTACAATGTAGTGGTTATGGTGCTTCGAGTGTCACTTTAAAAATCTGACAGTTTATGTTAAATTTAACAATTGGTTGATGCAGGTTCTCAATCATGCTCATTATTTCTCACCAACAAAAAGAAATATAAAGTCTGACATCTATTTGGATCATTCTGATTAGATAGATATATAAATTCATGCACAGAATACAGAAGTACATACATGCACAGTCCCTCATCTCTAACCTTCAGGAGCTAGCCAAGCTAGTTCGCTTAGTATCAAGAGAACCTTAGTCCACAATAGATGGACTACACAGAGTTAGCTCACTCTGAACCATTCATGCACAACCCCGCGTTCTACACGTCTCCCAGTATTCTTTCATAGAATTCTATCAGGAACGTGCATCACCCCCGCCGCATAAAACATTGAGCCCCGCATCTCTCCCAGCAATACTGTACCCGCAGCGCGTGCTTCCTCCTTGTATAACATTCGGAGGCGCGCGCCAGCGGCTTACATAAATCAGCAAAATAGAGGACCTTCAGGATGACGTCAGACAGGGGTGTGTGTCTCGTCTACTCTCGTTTTGGGCTCTTCCTGCTCGGTAAGCGCTGGAGAGCAAGAGGCTGCACGCATTTTCATTCGTATTTTGCTGTTTGTGTCGCCAGAGAATGGGGTGGAGCCAACTCGGCGTTGTTACATATTGTAGCAAATTGCTACACGGTCAATTACCTCAGAGACACATTATTTCAGATGTCTTCAATTGTTACATTTTGGGTTTATAGCTATATTAGAGGCTGTTCTAGGAAATTGTATGAGCATTTGACATTATGGCTCTTTGCCTTACCACGGATATAGTATTTGGGTGACTGTTTTCAAAGGCTTTATTTCGGCGCATTAGAAACAAAATGTTTTTAATAACTGCAGTGTGTGTGTGAGGGGTGCAATGTGAGACTGTGTTTGTACTGGTACAGGGCTGTATGGAAGTGAGGCAGATGGGGACATATATATATATATATATATATATATATATATATATATATACATTGAAAATAAATGTAGGAATTATTTAAAAAATAAAACATATATATATATATATATATATATATATATATATATATATATATATATATATGTGTTTTTATTTTTTAAATTAAATATATATTATGTCTCCCCTCCGTTCTTAACTTTGCTTAGGGAAGGGGAACACTGCTTTCATGCCCTGATAGTCCTAATGAGGAGTGAACTCAAGCCTGCAGTTCCTGGGGCTAGAATTCACTCTTGCGAGATCTGCAGCGTTGACAGGATAATCACAGCAACGCTCCATGCTCGCGAGAGGAGAACCCAGCGGAGCTGCTTGTTTGAGCTCCTGGGTCTCCTCTCTCCCTCACCTGCTGACTGCCCCATCTTAGTGCCAGCGGAGTGATGAGGGAGATCTTTGATCTCCACACCCGTCCGTGAAGGCACAGGGATGATGCTTAGACTGTGTCGGCACTGCATGGGCCGGCAGAGGAGGACAATGGAGTGCCTTGTTTCTTTACTATTTGTTTGTCACTAGGTGAGGGGGGGTGCAATTGCCCCCCCTCTGCATCCTAATATATAGGCATAATATGTGTGTGTGAATATGTATATGTATCTGTGCTCCTGTCTGCATGTATACTGAAGAGGGGGCCCAGCCACTGGCTTACAAATAGGGGTCGCAGCTGCGACCAGACCCGTCACTCCAGGGGGCCCAGCCACCCTGCAGACTCCTGCTACCGTGGCCCGCCATCATCATTTGCGGCCCCGCCCGCATGGCAAACCGCCGGGGCCGCATGTTAAGGTGCCCATCAGGTGGCCCATGCTGCCAGGGCCACCCGATGGGTATGGATTTTTAGGGGGTCCGGTCAGCACTGCGGCGCTTTAATAGCACGGCCGGTCCCCTGTGATGACATCATTACACACTGGGAGGAAGTGACTCCCCATCACTCCTCCCAGCTATTACTGAGAGCCCACGCGGGAGGAAGCAGAGGGAGTCCGAGTGTATGTATGTGTGTCCTGTCTGTCTGTTTGTATGTATGTGTCTTTGTATGTATGTTTGTCGTGTGTCCTGTATGTATGTGTCTGTTTTTATGTGTGTATGTGTCTTGTGTGTGTGTGTGTCTGTCTGTATGTATATGTGTCCCGTCTGTCTGTTTGTATGTATGTGTCTTTGTATGTTTAAATATAAGAAATAATCCAGGCACTCCAGCGAATTCCAAAGCAGAGGCAATTTTTATTGGAACAAGGAACCAAAAGGCAGCTTTGCTTTGCTGCAATGCTCCTCACGGCATGCCAGCCAGGCTCAAGAAAGAGGAGCTATCGGAAGCTGAAGATCGCGTGTGCTGATCCCCCTTTTCACTATATATATATATACAGCTTGCAGCCTGCACAATGCCACTTCAACACCCGGTAATGTAATGCCATGAATCTGATACCTCATCAGAAATCCGGTGTTATATGTCTGGAGTTCTAAACCAGTTAGTGAGCAGTTCACTGCTCAGCTCCTAGTACTTTAAAGCTATGGAGCTATGGTGTGTGAGGATGTTAATTTCTTCACATTGGCATTCAATGAGTGTAACCCCAAGATCTGCCTTCCCACACATAGACAAACCCGAGGGGGTGGTTCCTGTGCCGTACTCAGGAGCATGGAGTATAGGGTCAAAATGCCCTTCTTAATATGGGATCTATTGGTACACAGTTTTTTGAAGTGAGCTAGCTCTCTATGCATAATATTCCTTACTGGTAGGTGTCACGGACCACCTGTCATCCCGACCGGGTGCCTCCACCAATCGATGGTTCTAGTGCTCACCGAGGACTCCAAGCACTCCACCAGACACCATCAGCACCGTAGATCCTCCAAACCGCTGCAGCTTGGTTGGGGTTTCGCCGTCCTCCACCCACCCTGGACCCAAGACCAGGATCCAGCTTCCAGTGGGTGAAGCTCTCCTCCTCCAGAGAGCGTAGCAGGAACAGCTCTTATAAAAGCTAGTGATTATACCCAGGGGAGTATTGTGATATAGCGATCCACAGAGTGGATATAGCTGTCCCCTCCACACATGAGATGAGGCTCTATGTTGAGGGTGAAAAGGAACTGATTTTAATGGTGCCACACTTGGCCTTTTATGACAATCCCCATGCAAGGGGCACTCCCACATGGATCTTGTGGGGAACTCCGTTACAAAGTCACAGACCAATAATAACAGTGTTACAATACCTGACACTTCCATGTACAATACAATAAGCATTCCCCTTTACTTAGGAGATAATTGAGTCAATTATCTCCAAACACAAAAAACACATATTTTTACAAAACCCCCCCAAATACCTTAAAACACATAAAATCCCCACAAAAGTTATATTCCTTGATAGCCCTGATCTGGGTGACCAACATATTCAAAAAAACCCACCCAGATCAGTTTAGGGGTTCAGGAATTTCCTGGAAGTCATAGTTTTTACCGACCACACGCATGATCCCATGCCCAAAAAGACTCGCTGGCGACTGATCGGGGACCGCGAAGTCTTCATGCCGAAAATAGTTCCAGGGCATTCACGGCTAAGTCCCCCTGAAGTCTATTCGCAGTTTTGGTCCATGCAAACGGCCGCCAGGGACCTAGCATTCAGTTCTATGGAAAGTGCCGAACCAGGGGGAATAAAATATGGGTCTTTACAGTCATTGACTTGGCCCGTAGTCTTTTGGCAAGAGGCTAGCCAGCAGGCACCTCCAAGCACCTGTGACAAGGTTCAGTTCATCACAGTAGGGATGCGTAATCGTGTTAAATTTGAAAGTATCTTAAGCGGTCAAGACCTTTTGGCGTGTATTGTACTACCAAGCAGCCAGTGGTCAAAGGACCCCTTCTGCATACACTGCTTGTATGCATCATCAGCCCCTATGTTAATCTGGGCCTGACCCTATCCCTATAACCTCATCAACACAAGCACCAATCACATTACAGGACCATAATCTCATGAGCCCAATAAAATGTCATGATGCTGCCCCCTCCAATACACACATGTGCTTCAGAACTGCTGTCAAGGATTGAATGAGGCCTGCACATCGATGATCTCACAGACAGGCATATTGATGAGGGGGATGAGATACATAGGGAGGTAGTTGCACAGGAATGGTGCCATAAATGCTGAAATTGTGAGGAGGATTAAAGAAATGCAGGAATGGACAGGAAAATGGTGGAATGGGATGTAGGAATGTAGAGTGCTCACCAGTAAACGATGCAGAGACCAAATTGTATATCTACTGTATCATTAGGCCAACCAGTCAGAGCTCTCTAACGAGCTTGTCTCACTTATCTGAAAACATGCATGGGAAATTTCCTCGCACAATAATTTCATTTTACTAACTGCCCCCACCACTAGTATTTCCCCATATGCTTTTTTAAGTTTATATGAAGCACATATATCAGCAATTTTATTTCAAAAAGCTGATTAATTTAATGCATTTGGCTGCTGAAATTCCATCTGGAATTAAATCTAGTCAGAAATGGAAATGTTCGAAAACAGTCGATATTGATCAATTGCTTTTGAACGTAAGATTTAAATCGAAGTCTGGGTTAGCTATTGGGTTAAGCCTAACTCTAACATGTGACAGCTCTGCCGTTTTAAAAAAAAACATTACAATGGAATATGGGTGAGGTTTTTAGAGACTTATTTAAAAACTATAGACTAGTGTAATGTTTGATAGAGCAAGAAAGAATATTTCATTTTCAAGGCTTCCCTAGACAAACTGAACTGTAAGTGAGCACTGGAGTTGGGGTGCAAACAGAACAAGAATATTTTACTTGCGGAGTGAAGAGAGAGGAGAGAAGTAATATGCAGTACAATTTTCAGAGCTTTTTAAGTGATCTTTATTGAAAACTCAAGAGAACATAGAAGGAATCAAATTGGGGGTGTGGTTTAGACTCCAAGCTGGATGTACACGGAAGTACTGAGCTCGACTTGGATAGCCTGCAGACAGCTTTTAGAGAAAACAAACCATGGAAAAAATCAGTTCTAACAAATACGACAGCAAGTTTTTCCGCTCCCTAGAAGTGACCATGCCAGAGGGTTTTTGGCTGCCCTCAAGGGATTTCCCTTTCCTGACACACTTACCAGTGGAGTGGAGAGAAGCTAGAGTTCTAAAAGGGTTAATTTCTGTTCAGATGTAACATAAGACTAATAACCTCGTACATTGTAAGGACATCACACATAATCTCTTTCTAAAAGGACCCTATCCCTACACACTTCTTTTGTAAGAAGACCCGTCTAGTAATGCCCCTTGGTTCAGTGATGGCAAACATTTTTGAGCCCGAGTGCCCAAACCGCAATACAAACCAACTTTTTTTCCTCAAAGAGCCAACACGGCAATTAAACCTGAATACTGAGGTTTAAGTTTAGAAAAAAACAACTCATACAGTTGTCTGAACTAATTAACATCTTTTGTTTTAAAAGAACACAACATCTAATACACTGCTGATCCCCTCCCCACATCTAATACACTGCTGACTCCATCCCCCCGTCTAATACACTGCTGACCCCCTCCCCCCATCTAATACACTTCTGACCCCATCCCCCGTCTAATACACTGCTGATCCCCTCCCCACATCTAATAAAATGCTGATCCCCTCCCCCCCCCATCTAATTCAATGCTGGCCTCTTCCACCCAATTTAATACACTGCTGATCCCCTCCCCCCATCTAATACACTGCTGACCCCTCCCCCCACTATAATACAATGCTGACTTTATCTCCCCTATCTAATACACTGCTGACCCGCTCCCCAACTTTTGCACCTCCAAAATCTAAAATACAGTAGGTCTCCTAAGCCCCTTTACCCCTACCTGTACTTTAAGATGCAGACAGGACAGTCTTGACTGGATACTGCTCTGTTTTGCAGTACGGTGATGAGTGGCGTTCTGCACACTGCTTGCAGGAGGGAAGGGATGCCGCCGCTATGCCGTGCACTGTAGCTCAGCCGCGCAGCCGCCAGGTATGATGTCATATGCCCTATGCTGCTCATATATGGTGGCTGCCGTATGAAAAATCCATATGCTTTTCTGGTAATCGGCGGCCATGGGCAGATAAACAGGAAAAAATATTTACCTTTATTGTGGCTGGCGACCTATGGCTGCGTGCCCACAGAGAGGGCTCGGCGTGCCAGCGGTTTGCCATCACTGCCCTAGATAATTTTTAGCAACTATGAATGGCTGCATGGTTATTTCATGTGGTATGCACATGCTGTCCATGAGATTAGTTAATAGTTGTCATTATTTGACTGGTAATGAATGGTACTTCACCTAGACTCCCCTTATTGCATGTGCCTTAAAAGCTGTGTTCTGGTTTAAAAACATTGGACATTTTCTGAATCAGACTCTGTTGTATCTTCTGCATTAAGTGTATCCTAGTAAATGGTAAGATCTGAATAGAATTTTAAGTCCATGGCAGTCTGGTCTGGTGATTACCTAAGAGCAGTTCTATCACAGGATTCCTCTCCCAGATTAAAAATTTGTGTAGAGGACTGTCCAAATTTAACTTGAAAAATCTCCTCAGAGGGTTCATGCAGTAAGTCGTGGAAGCCTCCTTAGAGGACAAAATGTGGGCATACCCTGGGTTCTTGAGTAACCCTGCCTCTGACGCTCTTAGCAGCTTTTCTGGTGTTTTCACGGAGCTGTGTCTATTCCTGGCTTCCTTGGGGGTTCCAGGGTTAGATACACTATGTATATGAAGGTTTTTGATGTAAATGATATGTATAACATAATACTAAATACGAAAGGTGATGTGAAGGGGTTCACCACAGACTAAAGGAGTAGTGGCTATAGCTGTTTGATATAACAATAGTAAGATCTAGGGTGGTTCGAGGGCTAATTCACCGACTGCTTAGAGAATATTGTTTGTTATCCCTGGGAGGGATCTTATTACTGATTTTCAAATGGGAACCTGGAGGAACTGCATGAATTATCCCCGGAGGGTAGGCTATTAGACCTTGAGTTACTACTGACTGGCATGGTATCACATCCTACTGGGCTGGGTGATAGGGACACAGGAGATACATGATAAGAGATGGGATATAAGGAATATCATACAATACATTTGTTTTTTTTCTCAGTTATGACCTCCATAAGAGGATGCTCTAAGCATTGTTAAGCTCCTCTTCGCCTCTGTTCAAATACAGTTTTACTTGGACAAGGAGTAGACAGGCTTTTATCCCTCTATATCCTGGCAATTGATACATCCAGGCATTTTCTTTAACATTTAAGTTTGTGTATTTGCAGCTTTCTGAAACATTGCATGTATTGTCACAATTTTCATTTTAATTAATTTTTTTTAATTTGCCTACAAGATGGTATGCGCAGACACTGGTATTACAGCATTGAATTGGGTAGGCTACATCTCAGTATATGAAGCCCCCCAAAAAGGGAATAAATCCTTTCAAAGACAGAGCCACTGTCACCACCATCAATATGTTCTATTCGTATCTCTCTCCTTTTTGTTGTTGTCGTACAATAAATCTTGTATATTGTAGTATTACATAGTATGCATGTGTAGATTATTTATTTTGTTATGAAGTATACTTTTTCATCTTCGTTCTTGTGACTTAGTTAACAATCAATTTCTATTGAAGTCACCTTGGAGAGAATAACCGTTTCATTTTCTATTCAACTATGAATTTCTCTAGAGACGAATAGTTTAACTTGAGCAATGTCAAGCCCTCTGGCCATAGGTCAAATGGATATGTTTCCCGATAATTTGAAAAGCTCTGAAAATGCAAGGCTTCTGTAATGTAAAATTAAAATCTGAGCATTACAAAGAAACACTTAAACATTCTGCATCAAATTGCTCAGTTGCAGACATTTAAGTTATAGATGCTTTTGAGCACAATGGTGATATATCCATTTTTATTTTGACTTCCGTCTGACAATGGAGAAAAAGTCATTGATAGTAGATGGGAAACTTCTGAATACACTAACCCAGGATTTCCTTACCTCAAACTGAGTGTGGGAATGGAGGGTAGTCATTAACTGGATATTGGACCAGGAAGTAAACAATAAGTTATTGTCAAACAAAATAACATCGACAGAACCCAAAGGGGAGAACAGTTTATAATCAATCTAAAAGGAAGAGGGAAAAGGGAGCGCAAGAGGAAGAACAATGTGAAAAAGGGAATGAGTCAATGACAAATGTGATATGTGTATCTAGTTAAATTTGTGATGGAATGAAGCAGTGTGTGCTGAAACCATAGAGTTGAACATGAAAGAATAAAGCTGACTGTGGAAGCCCAAGATTAATAAAATGGATGAGGCAGGGCTGTTATAAAAAGAAAAATATCCAGGATGATTACATGTTATAAGACATGGTGTTTAATGGGCTTGAGTGTAAGGGAAAATCTAATAGTCAGTTAGGGCATTCCATTGGAATGGTGCACTACTTAAAATGTCCTGTAGGTAGTGGCGCAGCATAGGTGGGGCCACAGAGGCAGTTTCCTTGAGTGCAAAATTCTTAGGGGTGCAAAATTCTTGAAGGCACAAAATTTCAAAAGAAAAAAAGGTAGCAATAAATAAAAAAAGATTGTTCGAACATTCAACACAGTTTTTCAGCATGACGGGGCAAATGAACATTGCCACATAACATTTTACGGTATTTTTCTTGCCAATTACAGCTATACTGTCCTCAAGAGAAACATTGTATATATGAGTAGCAATATCATTCATAATAAATACATTTAGAAGTGAGTGAAGTTGCGCTAAGCTGTAATAGGGAGTACAGTTTTTCGCATTTCTTTTCACTCTGGTCCTTCTTATTAGTTTGATTCTTTTGAAATTTGTTTTTCTGCATTTATTTAAAACTTGCATATGCCAGTAAAGTTTAATGTTCTGCATTCATTTGAATCTTGATTAACTTCTACTTGCAATCATAACCTGTGGCATTGCTGCAGGTGTGGTAGGTGGGGGGGGGGAGGGGAATTGCCTAAAGTACCTGTGTGGGGTGGTGGTGGTGGCGGGGGCTCCAGCTACCGCAGCTAACTACGCAGGCTTAACTGTACTAGGCAGAGTAGGCACCTACCTACCCAAACAGCAGGTGCCTACTCTGCCCAGAATGGTGTATGGTTTGGGGTGGAGTACAGGCAGCAAGGTGGCTATGCACTTACAGTGCTATCTTTGCACAGCACCCTTAAAAGCTTTACAGTGTGCTGGCTTCTGGGTATGACATCATCCTGGCATCGACAACACTACAGATCGCACATGGGATCTGTGCAGGAAAAGCACAGTGATCCCAAAAGCCACTCTGGTCAGCAGGGAGAGGATTCATTCCAGCCCTTTCAGAAGAAGGTAAAGACTGGGTGGACCTTTACCTATGTCTGTGATTGTGTGTGTGTGTGTGTGTGTGGGTCTGTGATATGTCTGTAGTCATGTCTTTGCGTTTATATAAGTATATATGTCTGATTGTGTTTATGTGTATGTCTATAATTATGTATGTATAACTATGGCTATGTGTGTGTGTTTGTGTATGTCTTTGGGTATGTGTTTGTGTATATCAGTGATTGTGTGTGTGTGTGTGTGTGTGTGTGTGTGTACCTGTGCTTATGTGTCTGTGATTATGTGTATGTCTGTGGTTATGTGTAGGTATGTCTGTGATTTTCTTAATGTTGATCTTTCAGCTGTTTAGTAGATAACGCCCTAAGTTGGTACCCTTGTGTGGGATATTTATATTTAAGTATACCAAATTCGGGCACTGTCTAGCAGACTGCTCCATTATTTTGTGACCTTAAATATGGCAATCCCACATCAAGATATCAAATAGGGGAGATACCCAATAAACAGTTGAAAAATCAAAATAATTAGGTGCCATTAGCCAGCCCAGAAAAAGTACCAAGACACCAGGAAGTGGTTTGCATTGTTCTGGCTGAAGTGTGTAGAGGTATAAATACATGTGTTTTCTCTGCAATAAACCGTTCACTTCTTTTACCCAATATGACTGGTCTCATCCACTGTATTGGGTAATTTTACAAGGTTCCAAAAGAGCTATAATCACTGTATGCTGTAGCTGAATCTAGGATCAGAGGAGGATCAGAGAAGTACAACCTTAGGGAACTTCCTATCCATGCCAGTGGCTAATGTGAATTCTGGATAAATTTGGTCTGATACCAGCACGCTAACGCTAGCCAGCCAGCCAATGGTGGCACGTTACCCTCCAGATGGAAATCAATAGTGCCACCCAGTTTTGACTGTGGTATCTTATGTGGCACCCCTATATATTATTCCTAAATTTGCCACTGATCATAGCTAAAACTAAATCAGCCACTAGCCATTGTAAAAAAACAACTTCTTCTCCTGTTGTGTACTTTTACTCTTACTAAAGATTCCTAGTCCTTTTGAAGAAAAAAAAGAGTACTTGTAGAAATGCATCAATTCAGTTTTCAGTTTACCACAAGTCACTATTTATTGACAAACTCCAGAAGTCGGCTCTTCTCTCTGTAAAAAAAAAAAGTGCATTGAACAGCTGCTTGAAATGAATAGATGGAAAATGATTTATGACATATTTTTTACTTTGTTATCTCTCTGATGTATTGTCTTTGGATTGATGTATATAAACTAACATAACAAATGAGTGATATTTAATATTATTCACACATTCTTACTTACTTATGCCTGTAGTTGGTCTGGGAGCTCTGTTTTACCTCTGCCATTCAATATAGACCCTATTTCCTCTATGTGATACGAGCGAAAGTGGGTGGAGGGTTTGCAATTGTCATTTGTTCGGATATACCTTCCAGCAATGTATCTTTACAAGGAATTGTCAGATGATACATTCGAATGTGCTCACATCTTGCCGTGAGTGACGTATTTTGGCTCCTGGAGGCCTTTCAATAGATTCTCATTTGTCTTTAGTAGTGAAACCAATTTCCTTCACCTGTTCAGTCCTATCATCTCAACACAAGAATGAGGTTAACATTGATTCTAGTCTTTGGGGCTTTCTGTACAGTGAGGAGCCAATTCACAGGTAAGGAGTACTAAGCAGTCTCAATCAGTAAATGTATTATTTTCATTAATAGAGATCGTCACTAGAGCATGAAATCATAACTGATCTTTTTTTAAAAAAAAATTTATTCAGCCATTTATGAGTAAAAAGTTAAATTACCGTGTTATACACTAAAATGAGAATTGTTGGGAATTAAAATTAAAATTGAATTCAAATTTCAATCTATCCAAATAGGCGCTATGGCCGACTTGGAGAATTTTTCCTGTTTGCCAATTTTGGCATTAAATGTGCAATTCCTGACAATGCTCATTTTAGTGACTACCTCTGTCACTTTGAATTCCTGACAAATCTACACTTTATTGAATAAGCTTGAAAAAATATTGTCTTACTGGACCTTGCAAAAAACAAAACAAAATAATGCCAGGAAAAGCAATTGCTCCGAATCCAAAAGAAAAGGTTTCTTCCACAAGGTATATAAACAAACAGTGGAAAAGAAAAGCCAAATAAAAATCTTCCTTTTGGCTTTTGTTTTTTCCTGTGTGTTGCTTTTCCTGGAAACATTTATTTGTTTTTCTTTGCATTACATCATGGGGATTTGGAGTTCCTTGCCCGGCATCCTGAGTCCCAGATGGGTAAGTGGGGATCCTTTCTTCTTTACCCCACTTTCCATTTTTCCTTTGACCTTCAAATTAATTTGTACTTCACAGCACAGTGGTATTAGCTTCCTGGTTTCCAAGTACTTTTTCCCCCTGTTGTTACGCCTTACTGAACCTTCCCGTATAAGAATAAGAAACCTAGGAATGAGTTAAATTAATTACAATCCCCATGACATTCTCAAAAGATGTGACTCGTCTGTAATATTATTCTCATTGCGTCTACTTTGTGTATTCCATTTTATAGTAACTTTTGTTTACTTACTGTACAGATAGCATTGCAGAACGTGCACAGCTATGCACTAGAGTGAGAGTTGTCAGAAATTCAATGTGAATTCAAAGCAAATTTAAGGTCAAAACATCTGGATCTGGAAAAATGTTCCACGTCAGCAATGTTGACATTTAAGCT